CAGGGCACAGAAAATTTCGCGGCGCGCTCATTTCCGGGGCCCGGAAGCGCATCACCGAAATTTGCCAAAAATACCCTGCACCCGCCCATTCTTGAGTTTTTTAGGAATTTTTAGGGTATTATTCGACAGAAGGTGTGGGTTGGTGCCTGGTACGGAGCGAGAGAAAGAGAGAGAGAGAGAGAGAGAGAGAGAGAGAGAGGTGAGCGAGAGAGAGAGAGAGAGAGAGAGAGTGAGAGGGAGAGAGGGAGAGATAGAGCGAGAGCGAGAGGGAGAGAGAGTGAGAGAGAGCTAGAGATAATTTTGAGAACGACATGTGATTGCCTAAAATCCGGCAAGAATCGGAAACCGGAAATTAGGCGATTAAGCTGAAAATTCGAGGGGGAAAGTGCCTGAATGGCGCCACAGCAGACAAGAGGCAAGCATGGTATTTTGTATTTGGCTAGGGGTACGGTAGCTGGATAATGACGAGAGGAAAATTTGCTATTTTGTGCCCCCACAGCAGGCAAATTAGTGAAAATCCGGTTAGTATTTTGGATGGACTAGGAATACGGTAGGCGGGCGTAGGCGGTAAAGTGACGAGTGTTTATCACTATTTAGTGCGGTGAACGGAATTAACCAAAAATCAGGAGAGAGAGCGAGAGAGAGAGGAAGAGAGAGAGCGAGAGCGAGAGCGCTAGAGAGAGGGAGGGAGAGATAGAGAGACACAGAGCGAGAGAAAGGGAGACAGACAGAGTGAGAGAAAAAAGACAGACAGCGCGAGAGAAAGAGAGAGAGAGAGAAAGAGAGCGAGCGAGAGGGAAAGAGGTATGGATAGTGAGAGAGAGAAAGAGAGAGAGAGAGAAAGAGAGAGAGAGAGAGAGAGAGAGAGAGAGAGAGAGAGAGAGAGAGAAAGGAGAGAGAGAGAGAGAGAGAGAGAGAGAGAGAGAGAGAGAGATAAAGAGAGATAGAGAGAGAGAGAGAGAGAGAGAGAGAGAGAGAGAGAAAGTGAGTGAGAGAGACTGCCCTGTTTTAACAAATACAGTACCCGTGAATACATAACACTTCTCCAGTCCAACCATTTTATACCAAAACTTCCCGATTTTCCTTGCCGTTCCAATCCGAAACCCGTGATGCCGCGCGTTGAAAACATTCTCCGTTTTTTGACGCCCTCACCCCATTTCATCTCCCATTTGGCCGCCGGCCAATAAAACCCCATTCACGTGACGAAAAATGCATATTTAATCACCCTTTCAAAAAAACACTCTGCTTATGAGGGCGTGTAGGGAAAAGTAGATCATCCGCAAAAAAATCCGTAAAGTTTCGCGGGTTCCGGTAGCGGATGTTTGTCATGTTTTTCGAAAGTATGGGGCTCGTTTTTAATCTGCAACGAGGTAAGGCCGTTTTTTTGATGTCTGAAAATGAGAAAAATAATGTTCACTTTGTTGGCCGGGTGCCAAGTGTGTTTTTGTGGAGAATTTCCAGAAAATTGTTTTGAAAACGGTGATCAAAGAAGCTTAGCATTTGCCGTCAGATCTGCTGAGGTTGTGCTAAAAAAACAATTCCCTAGCAGACCGCAGTCGAGTCCGGTTTTCACGATTTAGCTATCTATCGGAAGCTCTCAAAAAGGCGAAAAAAGACGGGTTACGTTTTTCCATATTTAATTTCCTTGCATCGATATTTAAAGGGGCTACGAAATGCCAAAAATTGAGTGACGGCCCGAAAATCGGAGCCCTCCTGTACGTCGGAGGCCTCTGTACGCCCAGGGGCCGGGAAGCTCGAAAATTTGAAATTGCCTGTTGTCACCTCGAAACCACGTTCTCGGCTGTTTATTGGGCCAAATTTGATGATTAAAACACCAAAACTATTTAAAATTGAGTGAGGATTTCAAAAATGGGCTCAGAATGCGCGAATTATAGTGTTTTCACAAAGAAATCGGGCAAAAACAACTTCGCGCAAAAATCGAAAGAGTGAGGGTTCTTGTCCTGCAGCGCCCGCTGGCAATTTGCCAGAAATCAAAGAGCCCTCCCAAAAGGGCTTTGATTTGGCAGTTCGGAGCCCCTTTAAGGTTTTTCTAAAAAAACCGTTAATTTTTCGGCAGGAATTTTGCAATTGCATGCAGATCTTGCCTAAATCAGCAGTTTTCAGGGTTTTTAGACGTAAACTTAGCAAATAAAAATACAGACTCATAGGAATAAAGCCTCCTGGTTGGCTCGCCTTTTCGAGAGCTCTCGAATAGATACCTAAATCGTGAAAATCGGACTCGACGGCGCACCGCTAGCTGGGGAGGACACCCCGTGTTTTGAATTGGACTCTGCAACCTGCGCAAAATTAAATCAAAACGTAATTCGGAAAGTGCCGAGGGTACGTTTCCGGAATACTGCAAAGAACGAAAAATAATTTATTTTTGGGTTCCGCACTCCTCAGGTCTTTTGGTAAATAATTCCTCAAATCTTCGCCGCCACCCTCTTTTTCTCGACCACCGAAAATCTCGCCAGGAAACGCTCGAAAAACGCGATCGTCTCGGGGGTCATCTGGAAAATTCATAGAATGAAGTTAGGTGTTTTTTGGAACCAAGTGTAGCCGGGAAAACATTGATATCATTAGATTGCATCATTTATAATTATTTTCCGAATTTTGTTCTTTGAAAGCTTCGGAAACATCTTTGAGAGCTTTAAAAAATTGTTTTCACGCTGATGTAATTCTCGCGAGACCCGGATTTAAAATAGCATGACAACAGCAATGCAGAAGTTCTACTTTTTTGCATCATCCTGGATTTAGAAATGAGTGGCGGGGGGATCTGTAATCTGGAATGATCCGGAAAAAATTGTTTCCGGGGCCTGGGGGCACAGGATTGACTTCTATTCCTGGACAATTTCCTATTTTCCTAATCTCGATAGCCACAGTAAGCGCTGAATTTGGTATTTTGCGGTATTTCCACCGCCTCCACAACGCCCTAAAAAGGTTAATCCAATTGGGGCAGGCGGGTTTCTAGGCCTCAAATTTCCGATTCTGGCCCCGACCTTTACCACCGGAAATTGGCCTACCTCCAGAAAGTGGCTGCCGCCAGGTACGATTTTCAGCTCGACATCTTGGGAGCTGAACTTTTCGGCTAATCGAATCGTGTTTTTGTGCGGGACCAGCTAAAAACGACTTCAATGGCTCTTTAAAACATGGAAAAATTCTCAAAAGGCAAATTACAGATAAAAAATTTCGAAAAATCTAAATTACCGGGTCCTTATCGCCATGCAGAATCGAAATCGGGCAATCGATTGGGATTGAGCCTTCTCGTCTTGAAGCGCAGGTCTGGAAATTGCTGTGACTGTACCTTTAAGGCTAGGAAGACACAAAAAGAGATAGAGAGCGAGAGAGAGAGGGAGATAGAGCTAACATTCTGAACGTACTTCCATAAATTGCTTTAGGCCCACTAGGTCAACCAGAGCTTCATGGCCATTTCTGGAGGCTGGATGGATAATCTAAAAAGTCCGGCTCCCCGAAAAATGATCGTCTTACGCTTCCGCCGGCTTCCAGTGTTTTCTTAGCTCCAGGTTGGACGGTTTCGATGTATCGGAGGTCTAGGGCGGATCCAGGAGAGAAGAGGAAGAGGCCCTAAATAATTCCACAAGTTTTAAAATTTTCGAAAAAGCCTTCAAAAGTAATTAATTTTCTGCTGGAAAGGAACAAAAAGAAAAAAGATATATAGGAAAAGAAAAAGTTTACCTTTACATTCTTCGGCCGGCTTATCGTTGCATTAATGGCACAATGGGCGCCAGCAGAACTGGCAATAAGGATCCACTCGTCGTCCTGGAAATAAAAAGTGCTAAAATTACTAAATAATCGAAACACATCGTCAAAATTGTTGGCCTTTCGTAAACTGTCCAGTGTTTCTCGATCCGGAATCCCATAAAGATCGTACTTTTATCCGGTTCTCAATGTCTTCCCGCCACTCGCTGATGCGCCAAGGCTTGGTGTGGCTGCCCGGGTTACGGTAATTGAATCTAAGCAAATTTTGCATTTTTTGTGCTAAAAAACGTACAATTCCACATAATTCCCAGTACCAGCAAAATATTTGGTCAAAAACTGCGCTGTCCTGTTCGTTGTCGACGAGCCAAGGCCATGGCAGTAAAGGATTTTGTAGGCTAGCTTCATTTAGGGTGTTTTTTATAATTCTAAAAATTTCCTGTAGTTTTTAGAAACGCACTAACGAGTTGAAAAACATAATCGAAGCATTGATAAATTAGGAAAAGTATTTTAAAACGTATAAAAATGTTTATGTTAAATTTTTCGATTTGTCTGGTTTATCCAGATCAAAAACGCAAAAAAAATACAAAGAAAAATCAAGAAAATCGAAGATTCAAACTAGCTTCCAAACCAAATACAGCTGACCGCTGCTGACCGGACGGAAAAGAAAGCCGGGCGCTCTCCTGCTGGCTAATCAGGAACCGGGTCAAACCGCTCGGGAGGAACACCCCGGGCTACGGGTGCAAACTACAAACGGGGCGAGCCTAGAGAACGTTTTTACACGACAACGCTAAGAAACCCCTGAACTTACTGTATCCATTTACTCTCAAGAACAACAACAAAAAAGTACTATAGTATACTCTCTTGAAAAATATAAAAAAGTTATTGTAAAAACAGCGATAAAGATGCTAAATAAATTTAGAATATACTCAGCTGATTGATGGATTGTTGAATCTATTTCACCTCTTTCCATTCTTCAGCTCAAGTAGCGCGGCTCGTCTGGCTTCGCCTAAAAACAACGGAAATGTTTCTCACTCTCTCTCTCTCCCTCTTTCTCTCTCTCTCTCCCCCTCTCTCTCTCTCTCTCTCTCGCGGGCGTTTCCGAAACCCATCAGGCCGCCAGCCAATTAAAAACGAAAAGCCCTGGAAGCTCCTCATTTTTTCTCGGTTAGCGCCTTGGAAAAATTGCTCTCTACGACTGGTTAACTTGCAGTGAAAACGGCTTCAAACCCAGTTCAAAAAAATTTATTTTCTAGCACTTTGGCACCCAATGATCTGCTTCACTCCTTTTCCAATTTATTCAGCTCCATCTCGTGCTTGCTCTCGTCTAAAATGTGATCGATTTTTTACTTGAAAATTCCGCTACACTGCTTTCGGCGTTTTCGCTGCTGGAGGTGCCTGTAGAGGACGTAGAAAATTTCGAGTAATGAGGCTACGGAGACTCCAATGAACAGTCCGAGGGCACCGCCGACGTCACCTGGAATTGGTGTTGCTCTTTCTCTCTGTCACTCTCTCTCTCTATCTCTCCCTTCAACCTACAAGCCAAACTCCAAAAAGTATATTGCCACTTCTGAGTCCATTTCTCGATCGTATTCGACCGGATGTAGATGTTCACAACGGCCATGTTTTGCCTCAAAACTGTGTCCATTTAACATAGCAAGAACTTCTTGAACTCGTCGTCCAGTTTGAATTTGTTGTGGTATCGTTTGAGATGGTCGGAGAAGGCGACGTGGAAGGATTTCTGATTGTTCGGATTACTATGTTTCTCACTCTAGTTCTCGCTCGCTCTCACTCCCTCTCTCTCTCTCTCGCTCTCTCTCCCGCTACCCACCAAATAATCCAAATAATTGTATTCGAGCCCGGCTCTCAGGTTATCGAAAGCCGAGATCAGCTTCACAAAGCAATCCTGGTTTTTTGCCGCGACCTCGTCCATCGTGCCGTTGCTGAACAGGCTGTCGTTGTTGCTGTGGGCTTCCTATGCGGAGTGACGGCAGTCAGGCTTCGCGCACCTGCATCGCGTCACTAATAGCATCGATGTCGTGGATAAGAGCCATCCAGGCGTCATCCAGCAATTTGTCGATCGGCTGTCGCCAATGCTAGGAATGTATTTTCGACACACGCATTCGACACTCGTTCTCAGTATCTCTCTCTCTATCTCTCTCTTGCTTTCTCTCTTGCTCTTTCTCTCTCTTTCCCTTCGACAGCATCCCCCTAAGCGGTACCTTTGGGAATTTGTTGTCGAACAAGTAGTCGAGGTTCACGGCATCGACGAGGAGCGCAAATTGGTCTTTCGTCGCCTCTCCCAGCCACCACTAAAACATAGTGGAGATCATAGACTCGTGGCAATACAGACCTCGAATTTTCTGAATTTCTAATTTACAATATTACGGATTTTTCATGGGGTGATTCAACACTAAGAGCTCCAGTTACCTCCAGCTAAGCCTACGCCTTACCTCCAGCTTATAGAAATTTCGATATTCTCAACATTCCAGGTTATGAAACTACGCGTTAAAACAAGCTTACAAACAAGCTTGTCGTAGCCTTGTTCGAACAGCTCCAACGACTTCAACTCCCGCCAGTTCACGACGGCCGACAAGTTCGTGAGCAACAACGCGCGTCCCTGCGTCCCGTTCAGCCGTCCGTCGTCCCAACCATGCAGTACCCATTCCTGGAAACAGCGAAATTTTTGATCCAGCGCACATCTACAACTCACCATACACACTGGGTCGGGCCCGGCTCTTTTGCCGGCGACCCTCGCTTCGAGGCGTTCCTTCAATTCCTTGCCCTTCAGAAGGGCCAGGGGCGTCTCGTCGACGATCCGGGCCCTAACAGCGTCAAGCACCGACGTCCCAAAGTCGGTGCGGTCGTACCGGCTGTCGTTCGGATCCGTGTCGTTAGGGTTTCGCAAGGGGAAGCCCAGTTTTTTGAGGCTGAAATCGCGGAGTATTAGGGGACTGCGAAACCCACCTAAGCCGATGCCTAAGCCTAAGCCTGAGCCACCATAACCTAATCGGAAGCTGTATGTCCAACCGCTAAGCCTAAGCCTAAACCCAAGCCTTAATTAGCCCAAGCTCAACGTATACAAAGCTTGAGCCTGAACCCAAGCTCAAGCCTAAAGCACCAAGCCTAATTCCAAGCTCTATGCGAAGCGCAAGCCCAACTCAAGCTCAAGCCTAAGGCTTCACCTACTTATTTTTCGCCTCGTAAAAATTGTCAGCCAAATGCTTGAACTCGCGCTGCTCGACGTCGTCGTACCGGGACCGCTTCTCCATCACGTCATCCATCCGGGCGCGCAGAGCTGATACCGAAAAAATTCCGGTGGCTTCTAGGCTTGGACACTTTCGCCAACCTGTTCGGTCGTCAGAAACCCAGACTTTTCGCAGTCGACCGGCTCCTCCTTGAAGATGCGCTTCCCGTCCGGGCCCACCCCGACAAGCCGCTGCTGGGTGGTGGTGATCTAGGAAATCTGGTATATAATTCTATGCCGATTTCCTGGCGTTAAAAACTCGAAGATCTAACCCTTTTATCGAAAATTTTGGTGTCGATCAGCGAGTCGAGGGGCATCAGGTTTTTCGGCAGCTCGCTGGTGTCCTAGATCAGATGTTTTGTTGTTTCTTGATCAGGCTTCGCTGAGGTCAATCTTAGGCATAGCTTAGGCTTAGCTTAGGCTTAGCTTAGGCTTAGCTTGGGTTTGTCTTAGGCTTAACCTTACCTGCTGGGCTAGAAATTCCACTTGCTCACAAGTAGGTCTGCATTCCGTTTTCGTGCGGTTTTCCGTCAGCGCGGCAATACTGAGACGTACAACGTGTTTTACTAATCAGAATCGACTTACTTTTCCTGTACATACAATATGCAGGTAAAGTACTGCTCAACGTCACAGATATCGCCTTCCGGGATTACTAAAAATAGATATAGCATTCCGAAATACAACCCTAAACGCACCATCCAATCCGGTGTACAAATGACGGAACGTGCAGTTGCAGCTCCGCTCAAATTCCTGATGGTAGATGCGGCCGTGGCAGGATCTATTGAATAGCAATGATTGATTATCATGCGTGGTAATTTTAATGTGTATTACCGTATATTGTTGCCATTGAAATAGTCATTAGATGCGTCAAGCGATTCTTGGGTTTCAACGCGGCATCCAGTGCCGGGTAGTTTGGTGCGCTGAAAAATGTATTTTAGGAGCTGAAAAAAAGAGGCAGAGAGAGTGAGAGATAAACAGAAAGAAAGAGAGAGCGAGAGAGAGAGAGAGAGAGAGAGAGAGAGAGAGAACTGACATGCACAATTTTCAAGGGTATATTTGTCGATTGCCCTGGAGCCACGCTAATCCCACTAGCCGTCGACACCGGGATCTCGGTCTGGTTGTAGACGAGCACCTGAATACCATAAAGATACCCCCAAAGCTTCAACAGACATGCCTTAAACCCGTTTTCTGCTTGCATATTCCCAGGCACGCCGCAGGTCAGCGGGCGATCGTAGCTTTCCGCGTTGAGCACGAGCTTCAACCCTTGGCTGGGTCCTAGGGGTGGAGATTCATGCTATCGTCTCTCGCTCGCTCTCTCGCTCTCTCTCTCTCTATCTCTCTCTCCCTTTCGCTCTCACCTACCTGGCTGTTCAATCAACAATCGGTCGTCTCTAGCGTTGTTGAACGCCCAGCACAACCCATTAATGGTCCAGATCAATTTCCACATTTTTGGGTTGCACTCGGTGCCATTCGGGAGGTGACATCTAAACCATATATTACCGTAAGATCCACTTACGACAGGATGGTAGCATTAAGTGGAGGCAGGGCTTCCCTCAGGAATTTATCCGCTGGCATGTCCCACAACGAAACGATCGCCGAAAATTAGTATTTATATAGGGTTAGTTAATGCGATATTTGCGTTTTGGACGTTTGTGTTAGTAAGTGTCATTAAATTACGTTTTAGTAAGTATCATGAAAATAATTATAATCAGGAACCGTCTTAAAAAGCGGCCAGCCAAACTCGATGTCGCGTTCTTCTGGGAAGCGCTCCAGAATATCTTCGGTCGCCAGGTAGCCGAGGCTGTAAAAGGCGATGGGGAGAAAGAGAGATAGAGAGAGAAAGAGAGAAAGAGAGAGAGATAGAGAGCGAGAGGGATTTTAGCGGGTGAAACAAACCTGTATTGATTATTATTACAAATTGCGATAGCGGGAAAGAATATCTTCTCCGGGTACTCGGCCTCGATGTTCGTCACCACCGGGTATTCCAGGAAGTCGGCCAACTATAAAAATCTGTTCAATGCATTTGCATAGAAAAAAGGCTATTAAGGTGTTTATGCATCGCGAAAAGCTGTCGGATGTCATCCTATTAAAGCAAAAACGCCAAAAAAACGCAAAATGAATTGTAAGCTACCTGACTTTGTATCTGATAGATGGTGAGGGCAATAAAAAGCACGACTACAGCGCCCCAGATGCACCTAGAATTTCGCGTGCGCATCTTTCATTGTATCCAAACCTTACAGCCACATTCTTCTCCTTCAAATATTTCAGCCCGGTCAGCTGGATTTCATCGTAGAGGTCGTTCTTCTCATTTTTTTCCACCATCTCCAAAAATCAATTGGTATCGTGGAGAACGGTAAAATTGCGGTTTTGGACAAGCATCCTATTAGACGTTCCGCTTGGCCTGCATGTAGTGTTGGGAAATTTGCCCGGTCCGGTTTTGGCCCGAAATTCGGGTATGAAACCGGGCCGCCCGAAAACCGGGCCGAGCCCCTCGGCCCGAAAACCGGGCCCGCCCGGTTTTGGCCCGAAAACCGGGCCGGAACCCGAATTTTCCTTACCTAACAACCGGGCCGGCCCGGTTTTCGGGCGGCCCGGTTTTCGGGCCGAGGGGCTCGGCCCGGTTTTCGGGCGGCCCGAAAACCGGACCGGGCAAATTGCCCAACACTACCTGCATGGATTATGGATTTTTCATCAAATAATTAAAATAACTAGAAATATGGGCTTAAGTCCAGTTTATCCCCCCCCCCAGCCTACCCCCCCCTACCGTATCTCGGCTCCCTGTTCATCTACAGGCGTATAAAGTACACCAAAATACTCGCCAAGGCAAGGCGAATATTTCGGTGTACTTTACACACCTGTAGATCAAAAGGGAGTTGAGATACAACAGTTGGTATGGGCTCGGGGGAGGGGGATGAACTGCACTCTAACCGTAATATGAAATTGCGCATTCGAGCAAATCAAAAAGTGCCGTGAGATCTGAGACATTCGTGGTGTGGTCTCGCAAACGTTCCGCCCCAAATGTAGCAAGAGTTCCCGGATCCGCGAAATCGCTCCCATAAAATTGATAGTTCCGCCTGTGCTTGCTGTTTTTTGCCATTTCTCCCTTCGCGTGGATTTTTCGGTGCCCGGAAATCCAAGGGATAGATGGATTTCGTGGCGTCGGTTTTATCGATTTTTATCAATCGAATACAACAAGTACAACGTCTTGCATACAAGGTTTAAAGTGAGAAATTAGAGTCCAAAAATTAGAGTATCAGAGTTCCAGATTTGGCTTGCCGGAAATAAAAATTAGAATATCAGAGTTCCACAAATAAAAATTAGAATATCAGAGTTCCAGATTTGGGGGTGAGTTCCACAAATAAAAATTAGAATATCAGAGTTCCAGATTTGGGGATGAGTTCCACAAATAAAAATTAGAATATCAGAGTTCCAGATTTGGGGATGAGTTCCACAAATAAAAATTAGAATATCAGAGTTCCAGATTTGGGGATGAGTTCCACAAATAAAAATTAGAATATCAGAGTTCCAGATTTGGGGATGAGTTCCACAAATAAAAATTAGAATATCAGAGTTCCAGATTTGGGGGTGATTTCCACAAATAAAAATTAGAATATCAGAGTTCCAGATTTGGGGATGAGTTCCACAAATAAAAATTAGAATATCAGAGTTCCAGATTTGGGGATGAGTTCCACAAATAAAAATTAGAATATCAGAGTTCCAGATTTGGGGATGAGTTCCACAAATAAAAATTAGAATATCAGAGTTCCAGATTTAGGGGTGAGTTTCACAAATAAAAATTAGAATATCAGAGTTCCAGATTCCAGATTTTTATAAAACGGAAGTTTTTCACGGATCTCTCGTTACTGCCAGTCTCCCTGTCAATCACTTTTTCTCTCTCTCGCTCTCTGTCTCTCTCTCCCTCTCTCACTCTCTGGCTAGCTCTCTCTTCAGTGCGCTTTGCAGTGCAGTCGAAATCTGGGTTTTTATTGGTTTATGCTCGATTATAACATTAAACAAGATTACTATTCTTTTCTGCCGTTTTCATATCGTATGCTTCCACTCTCGCCGCATCTAAAAATGATTCATTTTTGATTTTAAAGCACTAGTTAACTGACGTGCTTTCCGGAGCCTCCTAAGATTCAGATGTTGGTAGAGGACGTAAAAGATCTCGAGTAGTGACGCTACGGACACTCCTATGAACAGTCCGAGAGCGCCGCCGACGTCACCTAAAATCGTATCTCTCTCCATCTCTCTCTCTCTCTCCCTCTCCTCTCTCACCCTCTCTCTCTCTCTCTCTCACCCTCTCTCTCTCTTCCAACTTACAGGCCAAACTCCAAAAAGTATACTGCCACTTCTGGGTCCATTTCTCTACCGTATTCGAACGGATGTAAATGTTGACGACTGCCATGTTTTGTCTTAAATTTCCCATGCGGTGACTTTAGAAAAGAATACTTCTTGAACTCTTCCTTCAGCAGAAATTTCTCGCGGTACTGCCGGAAGTGCTTGGTGAAGGCTTCGTCGAAGGTTTTCTGAAGGTTTGCAGGTAGTAACTTAGCGGCGAAATACCGTAAATTGTAGATATCCGGACTCGAAGCTCCTCCTCAGCTCCGCGATCCCAGATTCTAGCTGCACGACGCAATCCTCGGTGAGTGCACGGTCGAAGGAGGGGATGCTCATCTCGGTGTTGGTGTTAGCACTCTGAACACTGGATCTCTCTCTCTCGCTCTCTCTCTCTCTCTCTCTCTCTCTCTCTTCTTTATCTATCTCCCCCTTAAAGGTTGCGCACCACGATCCCGTCGATGAACTCGGCCTTTTGCGCCTTCAACACGCGTTGCGCCTCCGTCAGCAAGTCATCGATCGGTTTTTTCCAGTTCTAAACGGTTTGATGACGTCAAGCCGCCAAGCCCACCTTCGGAAAGTCGTGCTCAAACATGTAGTCAATATTCAGGAACAGGAACGCATCGGCAAACTGGTATTTTGTCTGGCCGAAGGCGAGGTACTGAAAATGGATCTTCAGCGAGACGGAGAGAGCGAGAGAGCGAGAGAGAGAAAGAGATAGAGAGAGAGCGCGCGCGCGAGAGAGAGCCAGATGGTCAGAAAAAAAAGACCCACATCGCGAAGCGCCAGATTGAACGTGTTCAGCCGTTCCAAGTCCTCCCACACCACGACGTCGGAAATTTTCGTCCTGAGCAGCACCGGCAAGTTGGTGTCGTTCAACTGCTCTTTGCGGATTCCGCTTTTCAGCCACTCCTAAAAACAAAAATCCACATACTCACTCTCACTCTCTCTCTCGCTCTCTCTCTCACCTCACACCCATAAAACGCTGAACGTTTGTACGTGATCGCTTCAAGGATCGTCTTCGAGGAGTTCCGATCTAATGGGTCTGCAGGGTATCCTTCGTCTTGCTGTCTAACGATCAAAAATGTGAATAAAATAGAAAATGGGTAGAATTCGGAAAAATCGTTAACTTACACTTTTTTGACCCATAAATACGACTCAATCAGAGACTGAAATTCTCGTCGGTCAATGTCTTCGTATCTTGATCGCTTCTCCAGGATGTCGGCCATCCGGGCCTTCAGCGCGGTTACCTATAAATTTATGGCTTTTTGCTCTCTCTCGCTCTCTCTTTCTCTCTCTCTCTCACCCAGTCACTCTCTATCTCTCACCTGCTGCGCGGTAATATATTCCGATTCTTCACAGTCCACAAACTGCCTCCGGTAGATGCGCGTCCCGTTCTCGTCCCGGCCTACCACTTCCTGACGTTCCGTTTGTATCTAAGGATTTTAAAAATCATAAGTAGCGGTTCCGACGACTTCGAGAAGGTATACTCCAAAAATCAGTTCGTTTCGTACCATATCAGCCGTGTAGACTTGGTCTAGGGGCAGCACGCTCTTTGGCAGTTCGCTGAGGTCCTGAAATCGAGAAAAACTCGCAAACGTGCGTTAAGTGCTAGTACCTGTTGGGCTACAAACTCCAACTGTTCACAGGTTGGTATGCACTCGTTCTTTGCACGGCTTTCCGTAACTACCGAAATTCTGGAATGTTACGTTACCCTACGCTGCAGTCAGTTTTCAAAAAAATATGATAAGCCCAAAATCTTGGCGAGTACTCCCTACTTCGCCTGCAAAAACTGCACGCATCCAAAGTACATCTCCACGTCGCAGATGTCACCTTCGGGGATGACTGAAAAACACGAGAGGCCGTTACGCGACTCCTGACGTACCATCAAGTCCGGTGTACAAATGACGGAACGTGCAGCTGCACTTTTTCTCAAACGCCTCGTGGTAGATCCGGCCGGTGCACGTGCTGAATGACCTCGGTTTCGAGCTGTTTTTGCTGGTCTACGTCTAACGCTTTAGACCAGCTTAATATTGAACTAGTAGAAAAATAACGTTTTTCGACAACGTACCGTATGTTGTTGCCATTGAAATAGTCGTTGGCCGCATCCAGCGACTCTTGGGTTTCTTCTCGACATCCGGTCCCCGGTAGCTTTGTGCGCTAAAAATAATTGTTGTTTTCAATAAGTCCCAAAACAGCCAGATTTGGGGCAGTTGAAGTTATGCAGAGTAACCCACGCTCACGATCCGCAGCGGGATGTTCGTCGACACCCCGGGCGTCACGCTGACGGCGTTTGCCGTGGAAACCGGTACGTCCGTTTGGTTGTAGATCAAAACCTGGAAAGTATGTGAGCTTGGCCTTTCTCTCTATATATATTTCTCTCTCTCATTCTCTCTCTCTCTCTCTCTCTCTTTTTCTCTCTCTGGCTCTCAATCTCCCCTCTCTCCGTCTCTCTCTTTCTCGGCACATACCTTGAACCCATTCTCGGCTTGTGCACTTCCCCCAGCTCCACAAGTCAGCGGTCGATCGTAGCTTTCGGCATTTAGGACGAGCTTTAGGCCGTGACTTGCCCCTAAAGTGAAACGCTCTATACCTCTGCCTCTCCCTCTCTCGCTCTCCTTCTCTCTCTCTCTCTCTATCGTCTCTTTCGCCTACCTGGCTGCTCGATCACTAGCGGATCATCCCTGTCATTGTTAAAAGCCCAGCACAACCCATTTATGGTCCAGATCTGTTTCCACATATCTGGATTACACTCGGTACCATTCGGGAGGTGACAACTGGAAATTTCTAGAAAATTAGTTCCGATATAACCGCTTACGATAGGATAGTGGCATTAAGGGGAGGTAGAGCCTTTCTCAAAAATTGATCCGCTGGCACATCCCACATCGTGTTCAGCACCTAAATAATGTTTGAAAAGTACTCGGAAAGTCATAGTAAGCAAAAAAGTCATATACCTTCTTGAATAAAGGCCAAGTCGCATTAATAGTACGATTGTCAGCTGGCATTCGCTTCAAAACCTCGTCGCTGGCTAGGTAGCCGATACTAAAAAAGAAATTAGGTCGAGAGAGAGAGAGAGAGCGAGGGAAAGGGTGAGAGTGAGAGAGAGGGAGAGAGGGGGGAGAGGTTAGGAGAGAGAGGGAGCGAGAGAGAGAGAGAGAGAGAGAGAGAGAGAGAGAGAGAGAGAGAGCGAGAGAGACGAGAGACTGAGAGAGAATGAGTGAGAGAGCTGAAAAATACGAACCTGTATTGGTTATTATTACAAATTGCAATCGCTGGGAAGAAGATGGTCTCAGGGTACTCGGCTTCTATATTCGTTACTACCGGATATTCCATGAAATCGGCCAACTAAATATCTAAACGAATTGCTTTAAAGAAGCTAACCTGGCTCTGGATCTGATAGATGGTCAAGCCAATAAAAAGCACCACTACCGCGCCCCAGAGGCATCTGAAGCGTGATGAAAATTGAAAAACCGTGGCCACACCTGACAATCGTATTCTTTTCCTTCAGGTATTTCAGTCCGGTGAGCTGGATGTCGTCGTACAGGTCTTTATTCTCGTCTTTCTCCGGCATTTTCTAAAAAATAACAAAAGTTACAAATAGCCAGCATCAATAATTTCCGAAAAATGAATGGTTTTCCTTGTTTAAAGTATGAATCGCGCAAAAAATATTAAGAAACAACCGTTTTTAAGTACTGTACCTGGTGCAGCTACCGCGAAATCGGGCCGTTTCTTGATCGGGGAAGTCCCACCTTTTCCAGCACCATCGTGCCATTCGACACCCAGAGAAATTCGCTATCATTTTCTTCTTTTTGCGTTCCCGTTCAGCGGCGGTGATCGCAAAAGTCGCGGCTCTACATCAGCTGCAAAAAGTCGGGGGATTTCACGGAAATCCCGAGAAAACCGAAAGGAGCAAAAGGTATTTCGGGTGATCCGGAACAGCGAGAACAGCATCGGAACTTGCATGCATTGCTAAAAGTGCCGAATTTGAAAAATGTAAAAGTTGTAAAATTTGTCAAAGTGTAAAATTTTTGCAAAAAACTTATCTCAATCGTTTATTCAACGCAATGTCCAAACCCGCGGTCTGTTAATCCAAAATAGTAATCAATCAGTCGTTCTTTTATAAAGGCAAAAGGTGGCGGTGGCGGTTCGGGTGTCGGTGAAAGAATGAGGGCGCATGTGATATGTATCAAGCCATTTAACAGCGAACACAATAAACCGGACAACTGGGGGGTGGTAATCAACAATCGATGAGGGGGTGTGAATATGGGGGCACCAAATTTAACGAAAGATACAAAGAAACCGGGATAAGCGGAAATTTCTTGGAAATGAGAGGTCGGCTTTAGGTGGAGGCGTATCGGTTGAGCAGCGAGTTGAGCCGTCGATTCGTCTCGGCCAGGGCGGAGGAAAAGTCGGTGATCTCGTCGCGGACTCCGGACAGGCTGTCGGCTGCCTGGAAAAAGGATTTAGAAGATTTGACTTTTCAGCCCGTAATTTTAATTATTTTAATAAAATTGTAATTATAAATTTCTAAAATCGTTTGCATGACATAAAATGCAACAATTCCATTTTTAAGACGGCAAAACACTCGGATTTTGCCCGGAAAAACCATGAAAATTTCGATTTTCAAAAAATGTATCAGTCTTTTAGATATCAATAAATTAAATTAAATCGATGAAGATAGAGATGTTCCAGTTCCCCTTTTGGAACGCAACATTTTTAATAAAGCTAAATTTTAATAGAACATACAAAAAATTATGAATAACATCACACCAAAAAAATTAAAATTTTCAACCCTGTTTTCTTGAATCAAAGATATAAACTATCAAAATATCGATTTCAAAAACCTCATCAGCATTTTCAGAGATAATTTTTTAATTACACACAAAAAAATTAGATTTCCTAACAAGATTCTCACATTCTCTGCCGCCACTTTCTCGAGGTCGTCGCTGAGCAGCGAGTCGTGGTGCTGGGCGAGTTGTACGTTTTCGCCATCTTCCCCGGCGTGCTCGACATTTGTCCAGCCGACTCGGTCCACCTGTTCGCGGGCCCAGTCGAGATCTAAAACAATAAATTTAGTTTTGAAAATAGTCGTCATTAGACGTCTAAAGGAATCTTGAAGACAGTAACTTACCCAATTCTTCCAAAACGCTATTATTCGCCAGCCCGAAAGGCGTCGATCCGTAGGAGTTGGAGGCGGATAACTAAAAATATTACAATTAAATTGCAAATAATAATTGATGAATATAGTAATTATAATTATAATTATTAATCTAAATTATAATTATAATTATTAAGTAAGTTTAAGAGTTTTATCGAAATCCAAACCTCGTAGCCATTCCCAGAAACATCGGCAGTCAACGGGAGCGCCGCGTGCACGACCGGGGCGGCGAAGGTGAACTCGCAGATTGAGCTTTTCCCTGGAAAGGGTTTTAAAAATCAATAAATTTTGTACTTACTTGAATACAACGGCTTCTTCGTGACCGGTGGCCGGGCGGCCATCTCGTCCAGCTTCTGGACGCGTTTCCGGGCGAAGAACTGAAAATGGGAGGTTTTAATTTGGGAAAATGCATGTTTTCTTACTTCCCCAATCCGCTTCACCTTGCCCTTCTCGAACGCGTAAGCGCGCCAGCGTAGGAAGTACTTGCGTACGAGGCGCTCGGCTCGGCGTCGTTTGTGGAAATCTTCCTCAAAATCAATTATTACATTCAATTAATTAGAATTCACGTACCACGCTCTTCTTCGAGTAGCCGAACTTGTTGGTGACGCTGGAGGCGAGTGCGGAGCTGTTTTGGCGGTGTTCTAAAATTTAAAAAAAAAATAGAAAAACAAATTAATAGCAAACCTTCTATCCGGCGCTTCACATTCTCCAGGAAAATCCTTTTCGCCTTTTTCTCTTCGACAAACGCTCGCCAGCGGTCTGTGAATTGGCGGAGCCACATCTGGCGCAGGTTCGTCTGGATCTCCGTGCTTTTTCGGGCTATCTAAAAAATTATTTTAACTGCAAAACGGCGAAAAGGACAAAAAAGAAATTAAAAACAAAAGCCAGATTCTTACAGTTTAAAAACAAACCAAAGCCTTCCTCTTTGCCAGTGTCTCCTCGACAATCTGCCTCGTCTCCTTGTCGGTGTGTCGATCTTTTAGGCGCTTCTGGATCTTGTCGCCGAGCTTCTCCGTCAGCTCGATGAGGCTGTCGCGGAAGGCGGTGCTGAAAAAAAGCAACATATTATGGATTAAGCGTAAAGAATTTGTTTTAATTTTTCTTAATATTAAAGCTGGGAAAAAAATATTCTAAAAAACTCACTTAATAAACGGCTGCACCATCATCACGAGCTTCCGGTTGACGAGCGAGTCGCGATTTTCGTCAAAAACTTCGGCAAAAGCTTGTAGGCCTTCTCTTCTCAAACGCTGCCGGCGCTCGGCCGCCATCCGCTTCTGCTCCTCCACCTCGCGCTTGGCCGCAATTTGGCAGGCTTCAGCGTAGGCGGCGCTATAAATGGAAAATAATCAAATTCAATTAAAATTAAGCTAAAAACTAAAGATTGGACATTTAGAATTAAAGATAAATAAACCTAAAAACTACGCAAAAATCCAGCAAAAAACATACTTTGCACATCGTTCTGCAGCCGCTTGAAGCCGATGCTCAACTTGTTGGGCAACCTTGACGACCACCGAATTTTCAAAGACTTGTCGCGCCTCGGTGGCGAAGAACTCGTTGCAGGTGTCGGAGATCTACAGAAAAGTTCTAGGTCCAGAATTCAGGAGTACCATCGCCTTTTTGGCCATCTGCTTCGCTTTGGCTTCTTGGAGTCGTCGGCGCTCGTCTTCAAGTCGGAGCTTCTGCTGCTCAAGGAGAGTCTGCTGGTCCACCTCCTCGACGTTCTTCATCGGCTGGTAGATGGGCACGTGCGAGGCGATTTGGGCATGGCTGAAAAACAAACCAAACGTTATTAAAAGTACTTAAAACCAGTTTTTAATCAACAGATTTCGATTTTCTAATTTTTAATGTCAAATTTCAAAGCAATTTTTAATAAAATTTTAATTTCTTGATTTTCCACAGCGGAAAAAGCCGAAAATGTACTAGAAAAGATTTATAACCTTCCAATAGCCGCCGCCAGCACCGGATCCTTGGTGTAGCACCCATTCGCGTCGAACGAGTCGACGACGTGCCCAATACGCGGTCGATGAACTCGGTCGCCGCCCGCGATCACTTGGCTCAGCAGCAGCCCGCCCATCTTGGCCTCGACCCACGCGTAGTGCCGCGGGGCGGGCGGCTCGTCGGGGCGGTCGTTGAAGCGCGACTTGTTCAGGTCCTAAATTGGCACGTTTTCGGCAAGTTCAAAGGTTTGAAAAAGCTTTCAATAAGCCTTCGGCGTCTCTTTAGGTGCTTTTATCAGACTTTAAAAGCTTTAAACTACCCACCAATCCATCGCCTTCACACAACAGCCCGTACAGCTTGACGTCGGCGGCCAGTTGCTCGACGTGATCATAACCAAGCAGCCGGGCGACGTGATCTCCGTTGAAAAGGGAGCCCCGTGGATATGCGGCCACCATGACACCGTAGGCACGGACACGAACCTGAAATCATCAAAATTAATCTAATTTTTTAAGTTAAACTCGTAGTTTACAAGCAATCAAAGCTTAGTTTAGAAAGTTAAAGCCATACCTTCTCGAAATTACGATGGCAAACGGTGGTCTGCAAAAAGGAGGCCTTGGTTCGGAGAAGCCGGAAAAATCTGAAGACGGCTTTTATGAAGTTTTTGAGCCGAAAATTACCTAGCGTAATTCCCGTTTTGCATGGACTTGGCGAGGTCGAGGGCCAGTCTCACTTGAGGGCTCTCCCGGACTTCACGGCGATAGGATAAAGCCTGAAAGTTGGTGGTAATGGGTAATTGGTGGTATAAAAGGAAAACCTGAGTGAGCGTGTTCGTATCGTGGAGATGCATCATGATGTCGTAGGCGCGGAACTCGGACTCGTTCTCGCAGTGGATGCCCTTTTTCCGGAGATCATCGTAGAGGTGGCGGAGACTCTGAAAAGGAATTTTTGCTAAAACTTACGTCATACGCTTTTGTCATTACTGCTTTACTCGTTGGCTAAATTTTACAAATCAATACAACGTTTTGTAACTAAAAAAACTACAGGAATCAAAAAGCACAAAAAAAATGTACCTGCAGCGACTTTCCGAGATTTTCCGTGTTCATGTTCTGGTCGAATTGGCCGATGTCGAGGGTGCAGAGGGCGTACGCGGCGAAGAGGTGGAACCGGGCGCATCTAAAACCAAAATTTATTTAAAGGGCTGGTTCAACTTTTAGAGCTTGGGCTGGTACCTTGGGACACTATGGACGTAGGCACAGTGCGCGCGAACAGTCCCCCCATTACGGCAGCTATTAGAGATTGGGGAAAAGGGAGAGGCGCAGACACAAAAACGCAGAGAGGGTTCGACTTCTGACCGCGGAAATTCTTTTGTTTTATTGGCTGAACTAGCCCTTTAAATGATATTCGTGTTAAAAATGCATCAACCTTCGAGTATAAAAATCATCATAATTCACCTTTCTGTGAGCATGACCGCTGTAGAGTCGATGATCGCTTGTTGGGTTAGCTCCTGAAAATCAACTTTAGAAAGGAGTTAAAAGATTTTTAAGCTAAAAGGGCTCAACTTCTAGATCTAACTAACTTTTAAATAGATAAGTAAAGCAAATGAATGATCAAGAACCCTTAAAATAGATAAATAACGCTAAATTAATGATCTAGAACCTTTAAAATAGCAAAAGAAAGCTTAATTAAGAGCCTAAAAACCTATTTAATAGAAAAACAAAGCTAAATTAATGACCCAGAACCTCTAAAATAGATAAATAAAGATTAATTAATAATCTTTAAATACATAAATCGACCTTATTTGATGATCTAGTTAACTTTTAAGTGTTAAAACAAACAATACCTTTCGAATAGCCCTCGTTCGGCTCCACAAGAAGTCGTACCACCCGGCCAGTTGATCGGGCGGCGGATTTGAGTCGAAAATCTAGAAAAAAACCCAAATTTTATTGATTTTTAGAAGTAGCATAGCTGTAAAAAAATCTTTACCTCAGTGAGTAGATAATCCATCGATTGCACGAGCATTGGGCCCGGGCGTAGCTCATGCTTCAGCGGTCGTTCTTGATCAGCGGCACTTCTCCCGTATTCCTGAATTCAGAAAATATCTCAATTTTATAAGGAGCCCGACCTTGACAGCCTTTTCCGGAATTAGATGCCCATCCGAGTCGCACTCGTAGCCGGAGAGGCGCTTCTGGACGATGCGAATGTACCGTTCTTTCTCCGGGCATAGATCCGGGCAATTTCCGACTCGAGAGGTTGGTGGGTCGAGCTGAAAAGGGATTATAAGCGAAAAAGAAAGGAGGAAAAGTTAATTAAATAATTCTTACCGCTCTCAACTTGTGCAGCAGCTTGTCACGATCGTCGAGCAGTTGATAGCGTTCATAGTCGTCGTTGCAGCGTCGCCCCAACAGGGCTTGTAGTTGATGGATTATTGAAGCGGCTTCTACAAAATAGATATCAATACAACGATTAAAAATACGTACCTGATCCCATTTTATGCCCAGTCTGCGGCGAGACGGAACGAGGTCGAGGTTCACCAGCATCGCCAAAAAGTTTGGCTGTAGGAGGAGCGAGTCTAGCTAAAAATAAAAAGTTACTTTAATCAAAAATATTTTTATTCTTAGGCTTCATTTTTCAAATATAGATCGAGGCTCTGTTTCTTCAGTTTTTCGCTATTCGCACCAATAAAGACTTCGCAACTTTCTTTCAAAACGAACCATTTGGAATTTTCAACCTAAAATGTCTGATTTTCGAGCAAATTGCAAATATATCAAGCGCCTTTAGAGTTTTGCACATCTTGACGCTTGAAATACAACGCAATGTTACAAAAGAATAAAGAAGTTAGCGGACAAACTATCGTTTTAGGGTTCTCGAATAAAAATAGAGAATCGGCTTTCACCTTTTTTGCTATCAACAAAAGTATAACTTTGCAAATTAATCGAATTGCCGATCAAAATAAACTTTTTTAAAAGCCTGCTAGAAAAGTTTTCACAATCGTAATATACTAAATGTCGCAAAATTCACCTTCCGATTGCTCGCCACGATTCGGCGATGCGTCACGGCGTTCTGGAGATGGTGTGGCGACCGGACGACTTGCTGTTTGGATGGCGCGCCGTTTAAGAAGCTGCTGTTGCAAAGTCGGGCGCTTCTTGGTCGGATCGACGAGCCCCTTGTAGAGTGCGGGTCGGGCTTGGCCCTTTGGAGCCGTTGGAGCCGGATCCGGGGCTTGAGGTGCTGCTGCTGGCTGTGGTTGGGCTTGGATTGGTCTTCTAAAAAAGTATTGATTGTTACTTGTCATTTTTTTAAATAATAGCAATTTTGTATGGTATTCCTAGTCTCTAAACAAGATATACCATCGATAATGTTCTTAGATCTGATCTTGTTTTCTTCTGTAGAGAATGATCTTGTTTTCCACCATTTCTTTTTTAAACCACAAAACCTATCTATTTCTATAACTAACATTATAAATTTTGACCAACGCTACGCTAAAACCTTCTTTAAGTGTTTTATATACCTTTTCAGGTTCAATTCTAGCCAAACAATACTTAAAACATTTACAAAACAGACGAAAAATTCTTTTCCTCGAGAAAACAAATCAATTTGTTACAAAAATTTATAAACTTACACTCTCTTCACCGTGTTCACCAGTGAAGTCGATGGGACCGATGTTTTTGGCTTGGGAACGGTTCTAAAATCAATTTTTACGTCTAGAAGCCTCAAACTCACCCCGTTTGTGCCATGCTCGCCGACGAGGCAAAGTCCAACTTGGCCGTAGAAGCAGCTGCCGGCTTCTCGCTCGTTCCTAGCGCCTTTTTCGAAAAGCTGAACATCGGCAGGCTTCCTGAACTCAGTTTTTGATTAAAAAACACTCGCTTACCCTTGCCCTCAGCCGCGGCGGCCGCATTTTTCTTCGGGATCTTGAAGCTGTCGGGGACCTTGAAGCCGCCGTCGTTCATACGGTCCCTATAATTGAAATTATATTATTATCAAAATTTTCAACGGAAAAGAGACACTTTCAGTTTTGAAACTGACAGAGGCAAAAATCCGGGTTTGTACTTTGTAGGGCGCGGCAACAGGCGCGTTTCGAACACCTTGGGGGTTCTCTTTCAGAAATTTGCATAAAAATGGACGAATACCGCTTTCTAAAGTATAAAAACTATTTTTAAACGTATAAAAATTCTATGAGAGGAAAAATTACATCTGTAGTCGATTTTCTAGATCGGTTTATCCAGATTTCTCGCCTCAAAACACCGAAAAGCCAATCATTTAGCTTTCATTTGCATGAAAATTGTTAAAATAACTTAATAAGATATAAATATTGTTGTAAAAGCGGAAAACGTGCTATGAAAAGTAGATAAATGCGTAAATACCTCGCTGAAGCTCGGAAACTAAGTTTTTTTAAGCTCAAAGTCATCGCAAAAACACATAACTTTGTTTTTCCGTGTTTTTTTTTTCAAAACTTTATTAATCGAATCGTCATAAATTAAGGAGGTAGCCGGCACCTGAGTCATGGAAAATGAACCAATAAATTAATTACATCACAAGTTCTGAAAAATTCGAGTTTAGAGGCGGCTATTATTGCATTTGGTGGTGGTGCAGTAGCACTGGACTTTTTGTTCCTTGTCAAAGCAGAATGAGGATTGCTGGACGTCTTGCTAAATAAGTTTTGCTTTATAAAAATGAAATATAAACTTACAATCGCCAATTCGGCGCAACCGCGATGGATGGTTTTGGCCGGGTCCAGTTGGTAGACGGTTACGCATAGGTTTCGGTTACCGGAAGTGGGTGGTTGACAACTCTAAGTAATTTTTGTACTTTTTTATTACAAAAGAATACTGTAAGTTTTAAAATAATTAAATACATTTAGACCTTAAAATATATAGCTTTTTACCTCGATTCCTGACGTACTATTGTCGTTATGACAAGCGGTGACCATGCTGCCGAAAAAGCCGCCTTGACCACTAGAATATGACTGGCCTTTTAGACATTTTAGGCCATTTTTAATACCGTTAAAGTTAAAGTGAGAAATAAGCTTTCATTAACCAACACTTCTGAATTGTTGATTTTGGGGCCGGATCCGGAGTAGTTTGCCCAGTCGGGCACCTTGTACCCCGGCTTCACGAGGTCTTTTTCGGCCGGTGGCGTTGCGGACCTGGAAATGCGTATTTTGTTGGTTACGATTAATTTATTTACACTTTATTATCTTTAGGGAACGGAAGAACTCACAACTATACTCTAAAAAGCCAAAAATTCTTATTTTTCGAGCCTAAATAACCGATTTTCCAAAATACCGATTTTTTTGAAATATCAGCGAATTTTGCGCCTTAAATGTAGGTGAATTTGCCCAAAAAAACACTGCTTAAATACCTACAAAGATCGCTAGCCCTTTATAGACTTATCGAATTTTATACAATTGACTTTAAAAATATATAAAAATTCTCGATTTTTCGGCACAAAAAGGCCAGTTTTCGTCTAAATTTTCAATTTTTCGATTTTTTTTTTGAAAAATCTTGTCAAGTTTCAACTAAAACCGCCATTAAAATTAAAAGAACAAAAAATAAAAATTTGTTGTATTCCTTTTTTGCTTTTTAGCTTTAGCTTTGCTTATTTCTTACTTCAGATCCCTCTGTTGAAGCCGCTTTTCGCCGGTCCTTTCCTGGCTTATGCTTCCGGTCGAAAGGTATGCAAGCAGAGCAGTTGCCGTGGCGGCCATAATGACCAGTACCGCTGCGACCCTGAGCGCCTGGCGACGACGGCTAAAGAATTTTTCTTTAGCGTTTCGGAGCACAGTTTTGCGATCAGGCGGAATTCCGGGTTCGGGCGGGCCCTAGTTTCCGCCAAGGCTAAACCCTGCTCAGGCTCGGGCGATCAAGTTGCAACGCGCGTTCTCTCGCCTCTGATCAATTAGCTGATCGTTGAGTCACACGTTTTCTGTCGGCCGGGTTTTTAGGTGGCGTATTTGCAAGAAAATTGAGGGAAGAAAAAGTACAGATTTTCAAAATGTTTCAAAAGCGCGGTAAAATAAAAAGCATGGAAAATGGCTGCCTAAGAATGGAACGTTTATAGAAAACTTTAGGCGGTTTGACTTGCTTCAAAGGAATTTTAGCCTTAAAAATGGAAAACGCACTTATTGTCCTGCGCCATCTTCGTTCTCCGCTGCAGGTCAAGCTCATAGTTCAAAAGTCCGCGCTCAACAGCGTCCTGAAAATTAAGTTAACAGTTCTGTAAGTCTAAATAGCTTTTTGTGGTTTTTGGTGCGGCAAATATTAATATAAAAATATATTAATAGGCTGCGGCGCTAAATTATAATAACTTCTTGATTAGAAGCCCTACGGAATTTTCGCGTTCAAAAATTGAGAAGAACAATAAATCGTCGTTTCGTTTGAAGGCGGGCTAGTGGTTAAAAACTGATAGAATTTCCAAAACTGGATTTTAAAGTTTCTTTACATTCTTGGAAAGTGCTGAACTCGCGGAACTTGAGCTTGCAATTATCTTCATAATTAAATTTCAAAGCTCGGGCTACGTTAAATTTCATTAATGCTCCCTGAATTCGCTGGATTTACTAGGCTAGATTTTTAAGCCTACAGTCCTTGAACCCTCTTTCAAAACTGTACAGGGTGTCCTAATTTTACAAGCCATTTTTTAGAATTTAGCTGTTTTCCGAGGTTGCATACGCCTCAATTTTCCTTCAATTGCCCCAATTTAAGCTAATTTGCATCAATTTCTACAAGCAAAATGACCGTAAGTAGCCGTTGATCAGATCCTTAATGTTTCCGAATGACTATTTTAATAAACACATGGTTTTGAAGATTTTGAAAACTCGTCGTTTCAAGGGCTTTCGAATGGTATAACTATCATAACGATCCGATTCTTCACCATAGAGTTAGATGGCGGAGTTTTTTATTCGGACACACTTTAGGTGATGCTAGTAAAATCGGCTGTATGCAATGTATATTTATCGTAGTTCCCGGACCTCCATTGCTTACTACTGTATTCGCCTTGTGACACGAACGTCCACTCATCCCGTTCGCCGAGAAGAAAAAAAAAGACTAACCATAATTCACTTCGTTTTGTGTTGGCCGGGGAGATGGAAGAGTTTTCTCAAAAAATGGCGACGGCTGCTGGTAAAAAGGTGACTCGGACCCTTTTTCTCTGATAGAACTTATATATCTAGTGAGGGGTGGTTAGTGCTTGCCACGCCCCCACCTTTTAGCATCCCCGATTCCTCGCATAGCATTCTCGGGGAGCTTTTTCACCGTGGGGTCAGGAAGTGTGTTGCGAAAAAGGGGTGGTGTGGGATATTGCGGGCATGATGGATCGGATCGCCGGAAATGCGGGGTCAACCCCACCAAGGTTTTCCTGCTTTTTTCGTTCTTTTTTTGCATCGTTACTTGCTACTACTCGTACCGTTTTTTTGCAGTAACCTTGGCGAGACGTTCGGAAAGTAGGTTGTCGGGAGTCGGGCTTGCGAACCGATTTTTGAGAGATCGAACTTATAATACGCATGGCTAGTCGCTACGAAACTTTCCGCTTAACGGAAAAATGGCGCGTGGTATGGATCGCTACGGAAATTACCGTTTGGAAAAAATTGGACTTGTGGCGTTTCGCTACGCAACTTTCCGTTTAGCGTCGGGTTAGGGCTGGTACGGATTGCTACGGAATTTGGCATTTCAGATTACTTTAGGCTTACAAGACTCGCTGAGCGACTTTCCGTTGTACGTCCAATGGAAACATGAAGGGCATCACTACGGAACTTTCCGCTGGACGAAAAAGTGCTTAGGGGAACGAATTACGCGTTCGGCAGCTTGATTTTGAGCTGAAAATTCGCCAAACTAAGAAATATTCTTGATTTCATCAATATTGGCCAAACGCCTAGCTACGGAACTGTCCATTTGACGTCTAATTGTAGCGCGTACGTATCACTACGTACCGATCGATTCTGGCGTAATACTCTGTTACGGAACCTTACTTTTTACGTCAAACTGCATGTGGTACGAATATTTACATTTACAGCTCAAAAATTGGTTTCTATGTGAGAGGCAATTACATCATTGAATCTAACTTTTGTTAACTAATTAGCATATTTTGCTTTACTTCACTCGAAACCGGTAGTTGCCCGGAATTGTCATAGGTTCGCTCGTATAAAATAAAGCCGTTACTCCACGAATCAGAAGCCCGGGCCCGGGCAAAAGGGCTGGGGAGAGGAGCGGAGTGGAACTTCTTTAGATGCTCGGCTCGAACTCCTGCTTCTACTTCAACGGCGCCGAGACGTGAAACTGGAATGCAAATGAAAAATTTTTAGGCTAGGCTAGGCTAGGCTAGGCTAGGCTAGGCTAGGTTAGGCTAGGTTAGGCTAGGCTAGGCTAGGTTAGGCTAGGTTAGGCTAGGCTAGGCTAGGCTAGGCTAGGCTAGGATAGGATAGGTTAGGCTAGAATTGCCTGATTTAGTACGCTACGTTACATTACGCTACGTTATGCTGCGTTACGCTGCGTTAGGCTACGTTACGCTTCGTCATACTACGATACGCTACGATACGCTACGTTACGCTACACTAAACGCGAAAGTAAATAACCTCGTTCTGGCGAAGTCGAGCTACGCCACGCTACGGCGGCTTACGATAGTGGTCGCTTAATTACTAACTACGTTACGCTACGCTTAACTACGCAAGGACCGTACGTCAGATGTTAGGTATTCCTTTTTCGCTATTTGAAATTGCTATTTTACTATTATTGCACGATTTATACACACCAGGTTTCGGGGGTTCTACTACACGTCAGACATACAGTAATCCAATCACCGGGTTTTCGAGTTTTTCGGAGATCCGTATGGGGTTCAGACCGTCCGGATTTTTAATTCGGATTACATGAGAAAAATTTTAGAGTCGGGAGAATCGAGAAACACTCTAAAGGGGCGAAAAAAAGTTCGATTTATGATACAGGGGGTTGGCGCCGGGGGGTGCGATAGGCCAATGTAATGCAGTGTTATGTAGTGGGTACGGTAGCTCGGTCAGATTTTAGTCCTCCTCGTCGCTGTCCTCCTCGACCTCGATTTTCGGGCGGTTGCACATCGGGGCCGTGGCGCAGGTGCAGCTCTTGCCGCTGCCCTGCGGCTCGCACATCTCGGCGGCGATGAACTTGTCCTGAAACGGAAATAGGAAATTGACTCCAATGGTTTCTGCTAGCTTGCCACGTGCTTTTCGGTGCTATGCTGTTAGCGGGCGAGGATACCTGGCTTTAGCGTGATACGCTTAAAAAATAGACAATTTATGCAGCTTTTACATATTTTTAAGTAGAGAAATACCATTAAAAACTGTAAAACTTTTCAAAAATTCTGAAGTTTTGTTGAAAATCTTTTTAAGTTTTTAATCATGAAAAACTACTACATATTATAAAACTACGCTTAGTACTTACCTCGTTGACCGTCTTGCACCCTCCCTGCAGCGGGACGTCCTTCTCGCTGTAGATGGTGAAGCAGATGTTGCGCTCGTTGGCGGCCGGGGAGTCGCATTTCTGATGGGTTACGGTAGGTCATACGAAACTATTAATTCCTACCTCCGTCACCTCGGGGTCCTTCGGGGTGTAGCACGTCGTCAAGGCGGGCTGGGCAGGTTTCCTGAAACGACGAGTTGAAGGAGTACCGCAAAGTTTAGTTAAACGAGCTTTTTTTATTTTTCTAACTTATTTTTAAGTTTATGCACCTCATAAAGCCAAAATCGCTTTTCAAAATCGACGAGTTGGAGCAGTTCAGTGTGTTTTTTACTTTTCATAACTTTTTTGTTTCTAGGTCTATTTTCAGTTCTAAATTCAATTCTGAACTTACCAATCCTCATCCGAATCCTCCTCTGACTCCTCCTCAGATTCCGACGACTCCGAGGCGTCCATCTTGGGAACCGAGACTTCGACAGATTTCGAGCCATCCTCAACCGGCTCGACCTTGGCCTTGCCGATGGTGATGCCGGCTAATCGCTCAAGGAGACTTGGCGTCTCGATGACGGGCTCAGGGTTGGCCTGAGGCTGAGCATGAGGTTCGGCCTCCGACTTGGCGACGTGCCAGCGGCCGGCTCCGGTGACCAAGATGGTTCCGATTGCCGCACCAACGAGCAGCACTCCGACAATTTTTAGGAGTGGGCTGGACTTGCTGAAAATTTATTGTTTTCAAAAAATGTTTTGAATACTTGAATTTTAATTATTTATATGTTTTAGTGTTTCTAAAATATTTTAATTCTCGGTTTTAGAGCATTTTGTAGTTTGCGATTGTATTTTTACGGAATTTTATAGGTATTACTGCGCTATATTTTCTCCAAATCTTCTCCAAAAATGAGTCACGGAGCTTTCATCCCTCAAAACAATGCAACCCTTTCCGGGCCTCATTTTTACCTGTTTTCCGCAATTTTCCTATGCGCGGATTAGCCGGAAAAGGGGGATTTGAGGGGCCGACTTTACACAAATCTGGGCTCTCAGCGCTGGGATAATCTGGGAAGGCCAACGCGTATGGTCAGCGAAACAGGTTACTGTATTTCTCAAAGGTGGGAACTCGCCATTTGCAGTCCTCCTATCCCATTCACACGAAAATTATCGATTTTTTCTAAGGGAAAATAAAATTTAAAGTTTTCTTCTAACAATTCGTTAATTAAGACAGGGTTACGGTCGGTTTAAAAAGAAAAATTGCAATTTAGAACGTTTTTATCATATTCCCGAGAAAGCATTAGGATTTTAACAACTGTCGAAAAGGAATAGCAATTCCGCACTATTAGGAATAAATCCCAATAATGCCCACGCGAGGAACTTGCCACCTATTCCTCCTACGACCCTCAACGCATCCCCTTCCACGGGTAGCCGGATCAGCGGAGGTCTGTAAGACTAATTTAGGCCTCTGAGTAGACCCTGCAGACCATGAATAAGATCCCATGCGATTACCACTGATAAGAGACTTGTAGATAGGAAAAGGTTTATTAGTATATATAAAAGAGGCAGCACTGAATGTATAAACACGAGATCCAAGGGTAACACTGGGAGTAAAAGAGGAACGATTAGAGCTCAATGGGAAAAGAGAGGGCTGGTTGGAAGAGTATTCAAGCCTAGCCAATCAAGCACAGGAAGTGGCATTAGCCAACAACCTTACCGAAATAGCCAAACCAATCGGTGCAACGACTGGCGGCAACGACTCCCTTTCGGGAAGAAGTTGGCGGTAAATTGGCAATAAATCGGCGCCCTCTTGGGCTCCCCCCTACCGTAGGCGGCGGGGAGAGGGGCGCGGGATAGCAAGCCACCCCCGGGTCCCCCAATGCGAATAAATCTCGTAAGTCCTGTACTTTGTACAGAACTTTCGACACTCCCGGCCCACGAGGAACCGAGAGGCCGAGCCTTGTAGAATGCTCTTCAACCGCGAGGTATCAGAGCTACTAGGGTCTGAACCGAGGAAGGACTGGTTGGTGCTTACATCGATAACACCAGTCTGGTGATCACGACTTGGGCGATACAGGGACTCGGTTCAGTCTAGTGTTAGGCTGGAAGGCGTGAGATTGCAAAGGGAAACACAGGAGGGCTAGTGGGACCTGCGGCCCGGCGAAAAAAGACTTGAACTCCACAACCTGGGGGTACACAGATAGGGTGAGCCTAATCGTAACTGGGTGTGGAGTGGGTGTACGGGTGGATCCGTAAGGACGGAGTATAATGTGCCGGGGAGCGGGTGGGGAGAAAATATGGTTATTTCCTAGGGGAAGGGCCAGCTGTGGGTAGGGTACAGATAAAAATAGGGAGGGAAGTTAACTGATGCTAAGGAGCCCGTACTCCTATCAGATAACTGGGGAAAGGGAAAGACATACTTTTCGATTAGCTGCGACGAAGTGGACTTGACGAAGACTTGGTGGAGACGGCGCCCGAGCTTGACCATTGCTTGACTTGAGTTGACCTTGACTTGAGTTGGCCTTGACTTGGGCGGCGCAGGTGGCTGTCTTGACCGGCTTGTGAAGAGAACTTGTCGGCAACGGCACGCGGTAGTGATGAACCGTGGCTGAGGGTAAGGCGGAAACAGGACGGGCTGTGCGGAAAAACTACCACGAAGCCCTCCTGTCAACACTGATTGTAAGGCAACTAATTTCTGAGGGTAAGGCGAAGGCAAAGCGGGCTGTGTGGAAAAATTACCACAAAGCCCTCTTACCGATACTGTGTGTAATGCGAGCGCAGGGCGAGCTGCGTGGAACAGAATACCACGAAGTCCTCCTGCGAAACCTGGTTGTAAAACAATTTTGAAGGCGCGCTGTGTGGCAGGAAATACCACAAACGTTGCGATCAATGCTGGATGTAAGGCAAATATACGTAAAGGCTCTGGGATGGGGTTTTTCCGGAGCTTATGTCAGCTTTTTCTTGGACGTCTTCGACTTCTTTCGGGGTTCCATCCTGGCCGCGGGCGTGACTGGTTTCGGATTCGTTTCAGGTAGCTCTGTATCGCAACTCGGAATGATGTACTGTTTTTGCAAAGAACCGATCCAGTGGCTGGAAGGCTGAGACAAAAAGGAAGGTCCAGAAAACCATCCTTTTTGAATTACCTTTTCGAGCGACGCTGATGATCTGGTCCCTAGATCGGCTGTGTTGAGAACATCAGGGACATGTCGGACATGGACTGTGTAGGTCGCTTGCAGTCGGGCGAAGCCTTCTCGAAACTCCTCGACGCGGTGGCGTACGAATAGGACTGTATGGTTTTGCTTCTTGGCGGCGATCTGGGATAAAGCTGTGCGGGAATCAGAATAGAACTGTAAGCTCTGAATTCTGACACAGCTCTGGATTTCACGCGTAACGTGTTCAGCCAGCTCCATTCCAAGGGTCAAACCCAGCAGCGCCTGTTTTGGTGTCGATGTTGGAGCGTCTGTGAGAGCGGCAAGTCGAGACTTCGATAGTAGCAACTGAGCGCCGAGGGCGCGATCTGCTTCGTGGGCTGACTGTAAGTAAACCGCAGCACATATCGCAGAAGCCGAAGCAGCTGTGAAAACGTGAACGGTTACTTGCGGGTCGCTAAAGAAACGGTCCTCGTCCTGTGTTAAAATTGCCACTCGAGGAATGACAACCTTTGCTTGTATTGCGATGAACTGGGTAATGAGCGTAAGCCAGTGTCGTGCAAGAAGGTCTGGGATGTGTTCGGTCCAATTGAACATCTGTCGCCAAATATCCTGGACCAAAATTCGCATCTGTAGGGTGAACGGCGCTAGCATTCCCAGCGGGTCGAAAATACTTGCGACCACGCTGAAAACTGCTTGTTTCGTCCATTCGACTTGACTGGGCTTGGACTCCGAATCGAAGATGGTCTGGGTGAATGACTTGCTCAGTCCGCTCACGCTGAGCTGATCTGTCTCTGTGTTCCACTTCAAGCCATGCAGTTCCTTGAGGCTTGTATCCACTCGGTCTGCTGCTGGTAACTGTCGCAGGACGGCGGCCGAATTGGAACCGAACTCGCAAAGATTTATGGAGATCTGGTGGAATACCTTCTTCGCGTCCTGGTACAATTCCATTGCTTCCTCGAGTTGATTGAAGCCCAATGTGACTTTATCCAAAAAGTAGTTCTGGAGTAAGTTGTGCTTCAATTTCTCTGGGATATCTGCTTCGCTGACGTGGTACTGGATAGATGCAATAAATAGTGTATCTGGGCTGGAGCGGAAGCATTATTGAGTCTGGGCACACGTTCGATGGTACCATTGGCGAGTTGTTTCGAGATCAGCTTGTCGTAACTGTGAAGAAATTCAGGATTCCTCGAGAACTTCATCAGTGTAGCAAAAGTCCTGGAGATCGCCAAGTGTTTGTTGGTTGGAAGGAGTGCCGCTTTTTTGTTCCACGGCAACTTTACTGACAATCGGCCGTTGGCGTGCTGTACTGTTTCAAGAAGCTGAGCTGTAGCTTGGTTGGCTTCCTCTTCTGCTGCACCTTCTGCATTGACTGGGATTCCGAGGTTGATGTATCGCCAAGAGTCTGCGCTCACTTTCTTGAACAGTTCGCAAAACTCTGGTGATAAGTCCTTGGTTGGCTGTATGTTTTCGATGTATTGCGCAGCTGTTTTTCCTTGCAAACGTCGTACGGAGAGCTGTTGTTTCTTCGGAATCTGGTGGCGGCGCTTTGCTTGTGCGGTTGCGATGAAGGTCTGTGTACCGTAGGGCAGGAATAGATCCTTATTACGATACGTGTCTTCATTGAGTTGCTGGAATAGCGCTTGCTCAACGTGGTTGATTCCGCTGATGACTGGGCCGAATATGTAGTGATCGACGAATTTGCCGGAAGGCAGCTGGATGGATTTGCGAGTTGGGTCTCGAAGTCTGTTGATGAGGTCCTGGCCAAGCAGTAACGAGCATGTCACGTCATGTTTGCGAACTGGATCGTATTCCAGAAAGATGTTCTGTTCCTTGAGGACGGCTCGATCAGCTGGACTGAGTTTCCAAACGTTGACACGGATTTCTGCGAGTGTGGTCACGTCCATTGGCACGATCCCGGTGCCTGGTATCTCGATGTTGGTGAGATGGACCTCCGGAGATATTGTGCCGTGAAACTGTTTAATGTGACGTTGTGCAGTTCCGATGTCTGGGAATGGGTAGCTGTTGAAAAGGTCTGGGCTCATGTAAGACTTTGAAGAACCGGTATCGAGAAATGCATCGACTGTAATAGTTACCAACGGAACGGATGGATGGACTATTGAGACTGTAAGAAGTTGCAACTGTGAATGACGATCAACGGTGTCTTCAGGTTTGATGAAGTAGGCTGAGGTGAGGTAAGATTCCGGGCAGATGGACTGGGGTTCAGACTCCTTGCAGCTGGGAGCCACGAAAAAGTCTTGACCGTAGTTATCTTGCTCAGCGTCGTCGAAGTCGCCTTCGGTGATCTGTTCCTCTGCATCGTCGTCCCTTTCTGAGAACTGGTCCTCCGGGTGTTCGATGTGCCCGTCTTCTTCTTGTTCTGGAGATAATCCTGGAAACGGTTGATCGTCTTCGGAAGTGTGGCTGGTATTGAAATCAATTTCTGCGACCTGTGGGTAGAAGCGGTGGTTGGAAGGGCCGCGGTAGCCGGTAGTATTGTCTGGATGGCGATCTGTATGGTTATTGCGGCGTGATGGGTACTGCTTGTTCTTCGAGGAGCGCCTCTGGAAGGATTTCTCTTCTTTCGGCGTCCATATGTCGAACATCTTGTGGAAAACTGTGTGGTGGTTGCCCCCACATTTGTTGCATCTGACGCCATTGCAACGTGACTGGTTGTGATCGCTTTCCAAACAAACGTGACACCGTTGCTGAGCAATGATGCGTTGCCACTGTTCCTGATTGCCGTTCAGCTTGGGGCAAAGGCTTGGTCGATGTCCCTTTTCTTCACAGAAAGGACAGATAGTGTTCTGGGCCTGGGCGTCATAGAAAACAAGTTCTACTCGGCGCTGTGTTGCGAAGCCTCTGGTGTGTTCCTGCAATTGTTCCACCATCTCTGAAATGGGGGTTGTAGAGAGTGCCTCTGGGTGTTTGAGCAGGAAGGACTGGCTCACAGCGTGTGGAAACTTCTTGATAATGTCGTATTTCGTGCGGACGTCGTTTGCCGTTGTCTGCTGTAACTCCCGAGCTGCGCTGAGAAGCACTCCAAACGTTGCATCCAGGTCTGTGTAATCTTCATCGATCTGTGGTGAAAAAAGGATGGTTGTGAGTGCCTGAAGCTGACGATCGGCGATCTGGTTGTAAGCACAAAAAAGCTGAATGACTGCATCAAACAACCCCTTGGCTGACATGTCGTACGCCGACAGGCTATCAATGAGGTATCCGGAAACGCTGGATCGCAATAGGTCGAGCTTCTCGCCATCGCTGATGCAGATCTGGTTGGCTTTCTCCAAGAAACGCATCCAGAAGCATCTGAATACTCCTGTGCCGTCGAAACTGGGAAGGTTGACGCCCTGGTAGAAGTCGCCATAGGGACCTCTATAATCCTTGCGTTCTTCACGAGATGCCTCTGTATTGAATTGCTCGAAAAGGTGCAGGCCATCAGAAGTGACGAGCATCTTTGTGGGTACGAGTTCGTGCAATCTGGCAATCTCGTTCTCGTTCAGCTTGTATGCCGCTGGCTTTGAGTGAAGCTGTAGGGAAATGAGGTTGCCCTGGACCTTGTCGAAGGTAGCCTCATCAGGATCCCATGGCATGGGAGACGGCGACGGACAGCTGCTGAGAAGAAGCGAGTGTTGGTGGGCTGTTTTTATTTCCGCAGCTTTATCGCAGGACTGGTGATTACTAGGCTTCTCGAAGGTGTGCTGTGTTTGAGACGGAGTAAGGCGCTGCTCCAGTTGCCAAAGCTGGGTGGTTTGTTGACAAAGTCTCGAGCGGGCACCGGCGGCTGCGAGACACTTGTTTAACTTCAAGGCGTACTGGTTGAGGTTGACGATGGTGTTCTGTATTGGAAGCTGCGAAACCGCTTTCTGAAACTCTGGATAATGTTTACTCTTTTCTGTGGCCAGTGTTAACTTGGCAATGTATGTCTGTATTTTGCTTGTGCTGGAGGTAATGTCTTCGAAGTATTGGGAGAGGGTCGCGTCCGGAAACGCGGCGAGCTGGGCCTGGTCGATGAGCAGATTGTCCACGACGGGGCGCATCTCTTCCCATTCGTCCACAATACGGCGTGCTTCAGCGGGTTGGATGTCCTTGTGGTTCATCTTGCTTCACGTGTTGGATTACCTAAAAACAAAATGAATCTTGGCTGTAAAAAGGCCAAAACGCCCTCGAAGACATCGAAGCAGCTGGAAAGTAAACTCGCAGAGGAAAGCAGTGTAAGCAGTAGTACGTCCTGATGTTAGCAAGGCCAACATAATTCAACAATGAGTGAAATGAGAACAATTCACAAATAGATGCGTGAAGCGTTTCAGAAACGAATCGCGACACGAAAAGCAAATGAGAGAATCGCGTAAAAATCGATGAAAATTCAATGGTTTTAGGCCAAAAATAGGCAACCGCGACGCGCACGCATCGCACCGTTAATAGGATTGTACGTACAGGCCGACCAAAGAAAATCCTTCAATTTATACGGATTCAAGCTACCCAAAACGCGATAGAAATGCGTAGGGCAGCATACTCATCCATCCACCTGTGAACAGCCGTTCAAAACAACCATTTGAAGAATCTGAGTGTAATTTCCAAGCAGCTGAGCTGTAGTTCGAAAGGAACTAGAAATTGAAAGTCTGTAGTGCTGGACAGTTCGAGAACTGTTTGTGATGTGTGTACTGTGCGAATCTTGAACGGATGGCCGGCGTCTTCATCAACAATCATCACATGAAGAGCTGTTTGTATGTCGACGCTTCGTGGTTTCTGGGCTGGGTCAAGAAACAAAAAGGGAAAACGATTTTCTTCCGAATACTACATATCAAAAACTGTAAACAGTCAATGATAGAAGTAATCTTCCGAAAAATCGTAAACCCAAACCTGTTTACATTCCTGAGCGGGGCTGCACGGGCGTAACGTCCTCTGGCTATGCGCATAGCACGGGGCAGCGAGCAACTCCATCAGCAAGAATTGACCAGCGAAGAAACGACCGCAACTGCTTCTTTCTTGAGAATGTTGACCGCCTAGAAAAGAAGTTGCAGAGACTGGTTGTGAAAATCCGGAACAGGAAGACTGGAAATACCCATTCAAGGGCCTGGAGGGAAGACTGTGAAAACTCTTCCGTTTTCAGACATCTCTTCTTTCTTGCGCTCTGTTTGTTTCCTCAATTCATCCGTGTGTTACTGAGCGGTGCCCCGCTGGTGGATCTTGTAGCTGGGCCAATTGGATTTCTTCGATGCAGCAATTCCTGGAAAAAAAGTAAAAACGATCCTCCTTTCCTCCGCTACTCCTCCGGCTGAAACACCGCCTAGAGCTGCATATCCACAGACTCCTTCGGCTTAATGTAACACCCAGCCATATGCTGATGGCCGGCGAGTGCCCGGACGCCAAAAGTGCCAGTGCCCGTCGGAGTAACGGAGTGCCTGGGGCTGAAAGTCGCCGGTGGCCGCCGACTGGTCGTCAATCCAATTCTTCTCGGTTCCATCGTTCTTGCACGGACTGGAAAAATTGCCTTCGCGTTGGCAATTAAAGTGCTGATCTGGGAAACCAATGGTTTCGTAGTGCTGCCTGGTCTGTATGTAAAACTCTAAAAAATTAGAGAAAGGAAAACAAATAAACCAAAACAAAAAGTGAAAAGTGGAAAGCAGTAAAAGCAAGGGATCTTGACCTGGGTTCTATCTCATACGGCCGACGCACCATGTCGAAAAGGAATAGCAATTCCGCACTATTAGGAATAAATCCCAATAATGCCCACGCGAGGAACTTGCCACCTATTCCTCCTACGACCCTCAACGCATCCCCTTCCACGGGTAGCCGGATCAGCGGAGGTCTGTAAGACTAATTTAGGCCTCTGAGTAGACCCTGCAGACCATGAATAAGATCCCATGCGATTACCACTGATAAGAGACTTGTAGATAGGAAAAGGTTTATTAGTATATATAAAAGAGGCAGCACTGAATGTATAAACACGAGATCCAAGGGTAACACTGGGAGTAAAAGAGGAACGATTAGAGCTCAATGGGAAAAGAGAGGGCTGGTTGGAAGAGTATTCAAGCCTAGCCAATCAAGCACAGGAAGTGGCATTAGCCAACAACCTTACCGAAATAGCCAAACCAATCGGTGCAACGACTGGCGGCAACGACTCCCTTTCGGGAAGAAGTTGGCGGTAAATTGGCAATAAATCGGCGCCCTCTTGGGCTCCCCCCTACCGTAGGCGGCGGGGAGAGGGGCGCGGGATAGCAAGCCACCCCCGGGTCCCCCAATGCGAATAAATCTCGTAAGTCCTGTACTTTGTACAGAACTTTCGACAACAACATCTAACGAAAGTTTGAGAAAAAGGCATAAAGACAAAAATGCAAAAAAAAACCGTTTTTATACATTTTCGCGCTGAAAATCGTAAAAATCCCCTCGGGACCCTGATGGGCATTAGAATTTGTTCAAAATACAAAATAACAGTGCTCACCGCTTAATCTGACGTGGTTCATTGCCGTACACCTCGCCCGGGTTCAGCAGCGAGTGGTTGACACTCTCGAAGACGCTCTAAACAAATTGCTATCAGTTATAACGTCGCGCTTTAATTCTGAAATCTCAATCCTCGAAAGCCTATTTTATTCTGAAAGTTCTCGCCCTTATCGCCCGCGGCATTGAGCCGTATTCGGCGGCGCCGAGGCGCGTAAACTTAATTTTCGGGGAGAACGGCTTTTGGGTGGTTGTTGTTGCAGGCGGCGGTTAGCCCCGCGAACTTTTCATCCGTTTTTCTAATAGCTTTTGGAAGGCTAGAGCGTGCAGAAAACGAAATTTGCAATAAAAAGCTTTAAAAAATTTCAAGAAAAATCGGCCAGATTTTTAGGAACTGGTGCGTTAACGGGGGAGAGGGTGAGAACCTTCCAATTACTCCATTCTTCTTCCCAAAAATTCCGATAGCGTAATACAGGTAATTTTAGTGGCTGTTTTCGGTTTATAAAAATGCGCGTAAAAATTTAAAACTTTTTTAGGGTGTTTTGCCAAGCGGAAGTTATAAAAAAACAGAAAAAATAGAAAATAAAAAATAGAAGCAATTTAGAGTTTTTATGTCATCCTATAAAAGAACGTTAAATAAAACAATTAAGTAGGTAGAAGCAAAAATTTAACAATTAGCTCCCCTTTCTAAACGAAAAACCTCTTAATTTACAGAAAAAAAAGTCGAGATGATTCTAGGGCGAAAAGCACAAAAAGGCCAATTTCCTGCTACCCATCACGAAACTGACAAAAATCATCAACCCACCATTTTTCCGCGTCAATATCGATGGCTAGTCGTACAGGCGGCAGCAGCAGTAGTAGTAGTGGTACTCGGGCCCAAAATGAGCCGGCGAACACCTGCAATAGGGCCCTCGGTTTTGTGGGCGGGTCCCGTGGGGCCACGGCCGTGGGCCCTAATCTGCCCGGGCGGCGCCTAGCAACGGACCGCCCTTCTCACCTTTTTTATACTTACCAAATAAGTTCCGGTCGAGGCGCGCCGGCCACCGGAATCGCAATTACAGCCCCGACCGAGGAGGGGAGGAGGGCACACCGGCCAAAATAAGGGAGTGTTCTCATTGATTCCAGGGAAAAGGAGCCGGAGGAGGGGGACCAAAAAGTGAGCGCTTCATCGTCCGCGGGGTTGTAAGGGGTAGATGGCGCTGGTCCAGTTAACGTCAAGTGTAGCTTCAAAACTAGGCCGAAAATCGGTTCTGGAGCCAAACCAAAGGAACCGAAACCAAATTTTTCCCTGTGATTCCCTACCGGCCAGTAACAAAATATCTACCATTTCTTCAATCAAAATAGTCTTCAGGGGCGTTCTTCTTCAGACCCTTATGATTTTTCAATAAAAATTTTTCTGCTTGCGGCGCTGTTCATTACTGTTTTTAAGAGGTTTTACTTCTATGAAACCAATTTTTCCAAAATTTTTTTTTGCCTGGCGCTGTTTTTCATTAGTGCGTCAATTACCCATATAAAATTTTCGCCTGCCGCGCCTTTTCCATGATGTTTTTAAATGAATTTGAGCCTTTCTAACGCTTTTTCCTAATTTTTTTTGTGGCGTGCAGCGCTGGTACAGCTGCGCTTTTTGTGTGTTTTGAAAGTGGAGACCGGGGGGGGAGGTCGACAAAAAATTTTCGAGTTGCCCCCCGGAAAAATTGGGTTCGTGTACGCCCCTGGAGGCTGGTCTTGCATCGAGTTGTCTTGTTCACGCATCGAGAATCGGTCTAAAAGGGTAGAAGTAAAAGATAAGAAGAAAACGAATGGAACTTCGAAATCGTGACTTTCTCGGGAAAAGCAAGCAGAAGCGAGCGGTTCGTGAGCGCATCGAGAACCTAGTTTTGAATGAAAAGAAAAATCGTAAAGTTAGAAAAAGGGAAGTTAAACGCAAAACTGCAAAAAAAGCAAACTAAAATTTTATAAACTGCAAAAAGTTGTTCGAAAATTCAAAAATCGAGAAACTTGAAAAAGTAAGAAATTCGAAGAATGCCCAACGCGCTAAGATTCCGCGGTTCAGAAATTCTGATGAGACACGGTGTAATTCGTACTGCCGCGCCTTTTAGAGGCGTTTTGTAAACTTTTTATTCGTTTTTAAACATAAAACTAGTTACTAATAAATTCTTTCTTTATATTCTCCGATTCTTGTTGTTTGCGACATCTTTTTGCTGTTCTGACGAGGGAGGGCTTGCTGGCCGGCTCTCAATCACCCTCAGCCAGCCCCGCCGACATTGTTTAGTTTCCCAAATGGCTTTCGCTAAAGTGTGGCTGCTATTGTGTCCTTTCTTATCCATTAGCAGAGAAGACTATTGCCTTGTGCGCGCGTGCACGGCGCTTCGCAAAAGCCAACCGCGCCGCTGTTTTGTCTGTTCGCTTCCGAAACGCCAGCCCAGAAATTGTGTATTGATCTACGCATTCGTGGTTTTGTGTTATTTTATAACTTTATTATGCGGGGCACAACCCAAATAAAAACAAACAAAAGCACCGCTGCCTGAGAAATGTGGGGGGAAACAGTGAATGGGATCCAGGGTTCAGGTAGATCCGGCGAGGTTTGGAGCTGAGGAAAAGTCTTCAAAAAAACTTGCAAAATTTGTGGAGTATAAAAATGGATAAATGCATAGCACTGACTAGTTTTCTGTTTTATAATAGATTAGTGTAAATCGACTCGGGGCGGGCGGAGATCAACAAGTTTCGTATCGATTTTCTATGAATGATATGCGAACTATGGAATCACAGGGCTCTGAATTGTTTTAAGGGACCTAGACCTGTACAAGAAATACCACAATTGGGCATTGAGTATCCTACAATTTTTAACGTTTTAAATAGCGGCGAAAAACTAGAATTTTTACAGGATAGGGGGGGTGGATGGCCAGGGGAAAACGGAAAAATGCAGTTTTTTGAGAATCTGAGGTTTATGAGTCGTGATTTTGGGGTTTGCACTTGATATTGATATCACCCTAAACTCTCGAATATCGAAGGCTTAGGCTTAGGCTTAGGGCTTGGCTTAGGCTTAGGCTTAGGCTTAGGCTTAGGCTTAGGGCTTGGCTTAGGCTTAGGCTTAAGCGTAGGCTTAGGCTTAGGCTTAGGCTTAGGCTTAGGCTTAAGCTTAGGCTTAGGCTTAAGCCTACTGAATTTTCGCGTCTACTAAAGTTTTCTGCGCTTCTGCGCCATTTTTTTCATATTTTGAAAAAGCAAAAGGCTCCGACACGCCACAAAATTAAAAATCGGGCCTATACTCGTGATCTTAGGGTGATAGACTAAAAATTAAAATAGATTATTCCTGCTCCTTGGGCTTGTTGCAATTGGTGGTGTAGCAGACGCAGTATTCGGTGCCCGGGTTCTTCAGGGCTTTTTCGTGGTTCATCGAGCAGATCAGACCCTCGCGCGGGATGAAGTGTTTCTAAAAATCGGATTTTGGCGGATTCTAACAGCTTTTCGTGAAGATTCGATTTTTATTGATGGAGCTGAGCTTTTACATCGATAAAAATTTTTTAGCAGGTTTAGTTTGCTATCTATTCTTTGCAAAACCGACTTTGAACAACGTTCGGCATCCCGATTCCTGTTGTATCAAGCTTGTCGTGTTGCGTAGGGTGTAGCAAACAGACATGTCACCATCGGCGACCGGCGGGCAAACCTGTTATAATAAAAATTTTTTTCGAGAAAACATACAGCTTATTAAAAAAATGTAGAGTTTTTGGACTGAAAAGTTGGCGATTTTTCGAAATTTGGGTTATCACTTTTTAGTTTAATTTTCCTTGGCTTACCTCTGTATTGTTAAACTTTGTGGGATTGTAGCAGGATCTGACGAGCTGGCCATAGACTATGTATGGGATGCTGAAAGTGGCAGAATAGTGGACGAAATTATCTCCTTATCACTCACTCTCTCTCGCTCGCTCTGTCTTCCCCTCTCTCTTACCCTCTCTCGCGTTTTTCGCAGTTCTCTTTCTCCCTCTCTCGGTCTCTGTCTCTGTCTCTGTCTCTGTCTCTCTCTCTCTCTCTCTCTCTCTCTCTCTCGTCTCTCTCTCTCTCTGTCTCACTGTCTCTCTCTCACACTTTTGTTCTCGGTCTCTCTCACTCTCTCTCTTTCTCTCTCTTTCTCTCTCTCTCTCTCTCTCTCTCTCTCTCTCTCGCTCTCTGTCAATCTCTGACTTACTCAGCTTTCCTCGTCGCGGTCGCCATTGTCGTGGTCTTGGGGGCACGTGTCGTAGTTTTGCTGAATTGACTAGCTTAATTTTGTAGCGATAGCAAGTTGGTCATATTATCGAATTTCTGAAAATCAACTCACTTTCTCTCATGACCAGCCAAAACCCCTCAAAGAGCGGCGTATTGATGTGAAATTTCGGCTCGCCGCGTTCGATGAAATTCCAATCGTACATGGCCTCGCTCGTTCCAACCACTAGCCACTGTTCTGGGTTCCTCCCGTAGGCGGCAAGCGTTTCCGGGTCGACACGCCAGGTTTCGTTCTTTTCGGTCGCTTCGATGGCTGTATCATTTTGCACAGATCGTGTGCTCTTCGATGCTGTGGAATTCATTTGGTTCAAAATTTCGGCTGCTAGTTCCGCGACTTTGTCGATAACATCAGCGTGCTGTTTGGCAGCGACTGCGGCTCTATCGTTTTTGCCGTAATGAAAGCCGGCAGCGGCGCCGTTGATGAAAGTAATAATGAATAGCATTAGCGCGATGCATCCGATCCTGCAATTTTACATTCGGCTCGGGTTCGAAGGCACAGATTTTTCAATTCCGACGGGATTTTAATTGGTTTACCTGTATTTGCGGATCACGTAGGGCGAAGACCTTCCTTCAGCCACCATGTTGTAGTCACACTTCGTGACTATGAGTTGGACCGGCTAAATAAGAAAGAATTGAGAGGTGTCAAATCGTTAGTGGCGAGAAAGGATATGACGCAATTTTTTTAAAGATACCAGCGCTGACCCCCCGCTCCGCGGCGGATCAGCGCTGGCCCTCCCGGGGGGTTCCTCATGTTTTTATACTGTGGAGCTCACACTATCATTAGTGCGTGAATTTGGGCGCAGATGTTCCCCTGTGGTCTGGGCGCCCTTTCCCCCTCTCCCCAACCTCCCATTAGTGCGGGGCTGAAAGAGAGAGAGAGAGAGAGAGAGAGAGAGAGAGAGAGAGGCAGTGCAAGAGAGGCTGCGAGAGATGGTAGTGATAGAGGTAGGGAGGATATCGTTGTAACGGTCTATGGTTAAAGTCAAAAACACCGAAATAGTTTATCGCCTCTGAGCCGATTTCAGGCTCTCTTACTATTGTGGAGTGTTATCTTAATTTTAGCAATCATTAAAAAACTAACGTTTTGTGTTTTTGTTTTACTGGATTTCTATTACGGGGCTACAAGATTTTAGCTAGGTGCCACAGTACAAAGGGATTTTTGAAAACTGACCATCTTGGCCTCCAGCTTCGCCAGCCTTGAATAAAGCGCTGGTAAACCTTAGAGTTCAGTCCGCAGAAATGAGGCTAGACTTCTCGGAAAAACCGTAGCCGTCGCCCGGATGGCAGACGGACGAGTGGCAAAAAGTGATCTGTAGACCGAAGGGTCACTTTTTAGGGGCGTGCCCCTGGGGGTGGGGGGAAGCCGGCGGGGCGGGTTGAACGCCGCCCCGCCGCTTTTTCAACTACCGTACCCCGGCTTTGGACACGCCCAGGATTTTTTTTGGGCGGCGGTTCTGGGAAAAACTGGGGCGTGGGAGCGGAAAAAGATGTTTGAATGGAATGTGCAGGTGGAAGTCAGACGAAATGGGGAGTCGAACGTCTGTCGACGACCACCCAGGAAGTCGACTAAAGGGATGGTGACACCTTGGAGAAAATTTGCAGTGGATAAGGTCGACGGGGGCACGTTTTAGAGGACGATTTCGAAACCGGCAGACTGACAGGTAGAGTTGCCTTTCAGTCCGCTTACAATTAGTTAGGTGTTTTTCAGGGCATTACGGCGTGTAAAGCGCGTCCGTCAAAAAACGCGATTTAGCGCCCGAAACATTTTCTGTATTGTCTGAAACGTTTCGTTTTTTTCACAGCGTAATAAATTTGCTGATAAATTTGCGTTTGGTAGCCCTGATTTTTTTTACTTTGAGGTTCCATCCCTGAGGACAAGGGTTTAGACTTGCTGCCCCCTTTAATGCTAGCACATGGGGCATCGTTTAGTTTGTGGCCGTTTTCCGCTTCGAAACCCCTTCTCCCTGCGTCAACGGGGCTTCCCCGACCTGCGGAAGGAGCATGAGGCAAATGATACGGTAGCCAGGAGTTCACCATAGTTCGTTCCGGATCATTCATCTTACTTCCACGCGCTACCCCTCGTCTCTTTCAGCCACTCTCTTCGTTTTTTGGCTCCCATGCTCTCGGCCGTGAGCTTTTGCTCCCAATCGACCGACCGCAGCGCATTATGGAGGACAGAAAGTATGGAGCACGAGGTGAAAAGTCAGAATATTATTGAGGACCGAGCAGCTATAACCGAGTCTTCTCTACCGGGTTTCGACCTTTTTTGGCAGCAAATTTCGCACTTCCGGTCAAGTATTAAAGAGGGGAAGTCAAAACCTTTGTTTCGGTATTCAATTTCAAAATGTAAGAATTCAAAAACAGGGTAAGTTTTACACTATTTGTGACTAATCATATACACAAAAATCTATAGATTTTTAGTTGCAAAAAATAGAAGAAAATCTAGGTTTTTGTTAAAATCTCAATTTTTGATCCAAAATTTGTTAGTCAAAATTATTTAAAAATTATTTCGATGGTTTTCCACAAAAATATGTTTGCATTTTACTAAACGCGCCTAAATAGTAATTTACCTTTTAGCCATCCCTGGACTGATATAAAAAAATCAATCACCCTGATAGAACACCCCCCCTGATAATGGTACAGCACCGAAATTGCATTGCGGGAAATGACTTTAACTCTACATAGAACTCTCTCGCCCTTATTTCAGATTTCAGATGTCGATGCAGAACTTTTGGTCCGGCTGGCGGCCCGCGGCAACAGGTGCTGATTGCCTGATTTGCGTGAGGGAATGATACCGTAGATGCCTTTGAGGTATTCCGGAAAAATGCAGCGGCAGGCCGAAGATCTCGACCGATGGAATGAACCATCAGTTTTTGCAACTTCTTCTTTCGTACTTTCTTTCGACTTAGCGTCCTTTAATCATACAGCTAGCTTGGGTTTTTCGAGTTTTCAGCATAAGAATTGCGGAAATACGCCGATCTTTGGACCGTTGCTAATTTCGGCCAGCACCTGCGGTTGAAAATTATTTTTGGAGCCCGTGGCCGAGGGAAAAATCAGCAATTTTTACTGGTTGCACATGTTGTACCTTTGAATTCAGTGTTTAATAAAGTTCGCCCTGTTCTTAATTTAAAATAGAAGTAAGTTGAAGTTTTCGCAAATTTATTCATAGCAATTACAGTAAACTTGAGCGGTGCGCAAAAAGCGCAAAAAATATACGTAGTTTTTGGAATGTTGAGCAAGTGAGGGTGTATGACAGGAAAATGAATGTAAAACGCACAGTAGAACGAAGTGAAAATCAATAAATATAAAATTTACAATTATGGAATCTATGGTTTTAAATAGGTAAAAATAATAAATAACGTTACAGGGACCGGGAAGGCAATCTCAAGGCAAATTAGGCCTTTTTGCTGCGAGCCCATTTGGATTATCGCGATTTTGCAAGCGGTTTTTCCGGTAAAAAGTACATCTGTAAGTCGACAATCTAATTTTCTTTTTTGCGAAGTGTCAAATGCAAATTTATGATCAAAAACAGGATATCTTAGAACATGAGAATGCTTTTCAAGCCCGTTTGAAGAAGAATTGAAGAATTCCGCGTTTTTTCTCGCATTTTTATATTTAAGTTGCGTTTCTGACGCCACGACCGTGATAAAATCATTTTTTATCAGATTACGCACGCCACAAACTTTTCCATTGCGTAATGCCATACCACCGTTGCGTAACGCGGCGCGGGAAAACTCATTTGGCAGCGACACGCAACGCACTGTGTAATCGTGTATACTTGCATTGTGTAAGCGATGACGACGGCTAAAGGGAGGTCGATCACGTGCGCGTTGCGTATCGCGGGCGGGAAGCACCTGTAACGAATACATAGCCCTGCCTTCCTGGTCCCTTTAAAAACCGGATCAAAGATAATGCGGGCGAGATGCGCCTACTTTTGTCAGGCCCAAAGTGCGTATGCACCAGGCGTTGGGACGCCTCGTATTCCGAGATAAGCGACTACGAATGGGAACGAAAAGATAAAAATGTTGAGAAAGTCAGGATCCCGCGACGGCTAGAGTCTAATCCGGGACGAATTAGAGTTCCGAGACGAGATGGATTCTCTTCGGGTGCCGTACGTTCCGACGTCGTAGCAGACGCGTATTGGAAGCGTCGTCACTTGTGAATGTGCTGAAAAAAATATCTTTTTTAAAGGGAGTACGAAGTGGGATGTGCTTGGTTAACAAATTTTTAGTTTCTCTAGTGATCAACTATCAGCATACGGTAACACGGCTTTCTTTTAGTGCACTAATCGAGGCAGTTAGCAGGGATTCTTTAGGAATTTTTAGGGGGTGTGTAAGTTATCATTTTGATATAAGTTTTGCTCTCAAAATTCAGCTTTACAGATATACGGTAGCCTTAAAAACGTTAATCGGCCAGAAACGTGGACCTTTTGTTTTTGAAAAATTAGCGGGTTTGTAAGCTTTTTTGCATTTTTTTTCTCGCATTTTTTACCGTTTGGAAATGAGCAATCTAGGTATGTCTTGTAGATGATTTTTAGTAAGCAAATTGAGCAAGCTAGCAGAAATTTTACTGCTATTTTAGTACGTTAAATTTGCATTGGTTTGGCGACCTGGATTCGACTGTAGTTTGTAGGTAGCGTAAGTGCGGAATTGCTAACGTGGTGATCTCAATCCGCCGGGGAAGTTAAGAGAATCATGCTGTAGTTTGTGATCAACCAGGATTTTAGGGGTAAAGCGACACACCGGTGCGAGTATACCGTAAGACGGGGACACTTCGGGGAAGACGGACGGTTGCTTGCAAGCTAGCACGAAGCCGAAAATGCTCATCGACAGCTGCACGACGACGAGTTCAAGGGCGACGTAGTAGGGCCAACTGAAAATATTCGATTTTCAGGTGTGAGTTCAGCAATGTTTTGGAATCCAAAAATGCCAGACGCGGAGAAAGTTAGAGTGTACAAAGGAGCCTAGCGTAGTTGGCTGTCTGACAAGCGTTTTGAAATTCGTCTACTGCCTTCAAGGCGTAGCACGCAGAATTTTTCGATCCCTTGCAACGATAGTAAACCGTTTTCCTAAACGTAAGGCTTGTCGTTTCTAAACCATAATTCCATGACTTTATTTAGATCAGATTTTTCCAAGCCCTGAAAAATCTGATGCTTAATCCACTGTTTTCCTTGTAAAACCCGCTCTCTGCACTTTAGACCAACCGACCCAAGGATGATCCGGAGAAACCATTAATGCCGCGTACAGACAGCCCGGATCTAATCCGGATTATCCCCCGCTGAAACTCTAAGCCATGGATTTCCAATAGACACAGGATACCGTAACCCTAGGCTGGATCCAGGCAACCACTTCCGTGCAGGAGAGTACAAGGATTGGTTGGTCGGCAGAACTGGAGGGATTATGGTAAAATTGGCTGCCCGGACTGGGCTACCGTAACCCTCGGAATATGGGGAGTGCGCTGATTTTTGTGCAAAGCCGTTTAGACCACGACCGGAGACCAAACGCTAGCTGGCCAGTTCATACAAAATGGTGTTTCGGATCGGTGCCAGGCACAGCAGGAGGGAATGTACGGTAGACACCGCTAAGTGAGAGAGAGAGAGCGCGAAAGAGAGAGTGACACAGAGCGAGCGAGAGAGAGAGATAATGAAAGTGGGCAAGACCGAGAGAAATTTATAGCGTTTTCAAATTTTTTCCGGCTAAAATTCCGGGCTGCTTTTTGAAAATACAACTTTTCGACGATAAGGTTCTCGAAATAAAAATTAAATGTCGAAAAAGCAAGTTTTATATAGGCCAAACCGTCCTACAGGGGCTACTGTCTCCCCAGTGGTAGACAGCGCTACAGTATCCATATGTCGGGGATGTACGCTCTTTTCGGAGAACAACCAAAAAAGCCGGGGCGCACAGGTGCTTTTCCAAGTACAGGTGCTCCCAGCACAATTTCAGGAAATAGCAAACAGCCCCCAGGGCGCTAATGAGAAGCGGGGCAGGGGTACGGTAGGTAGGCGCTCTGGTTTTTGCCCTAGATCGCGGATTTTGTTTTTGGACCCTAGCAAGTGAAAACAAGAGTCTACTGTAACCGGCTATTATTGGACTTTTTGGGGGAGGTCAAAAATTGGAGATCTGCGACAGAACGGAGGGAAGGTCAGCGAAAAAGCGAGAAATATCGAGAGAGAGCGAGATAGAGAGAGAGGGAGAGAGAGAGGACGAAAGCGAGAAATCGACACCTACCGTATCCGACAGAGTCCGAGGTCGTACTTCTTTGAATCGCAGGTTTCCCGCACTCGTGGATGATCCCAGCCATTCGGATAAAGAAGGCAGGCGGAGAGCATTGCCATAACTGCAAAAACTTACACATTTAATGGGATGTTTCGATAAATTTATTTTTTTTGGCATTTCTGTTTCTCGCGGCGCTTTACAGTAACGCTACAAAATTTATTACGATTCCCGGATTTCTCTATTTTATAGGGATAACGACGGTATAAGTATTCGGTGAGCGAGGGGAAGAGAATGTCTCTGCGTCCGGCCCTTGCGCGCGTTCTCTGCCCTGTTGGCTACGTTCCAAAGAGTCGATCAGGGGTGATCGACCGATGCCGTCGGTGTCCCTTTAAGGCAGATTCACCAGGGAAAGTTTATGCGTTCCCATGCGCCGCGTCATTCTAGCTAGTCCCGGGACCTCAAGGTCGCAATTTTTGGCACGTATGCAAGTACGCAATTCGAGAGTTGAAGAGGTGTACTCGGGCCGATTCTCGGAACACCCAGTGTTTCGTCGCTGCCCGGCAAACTCACAGGAAAACATGTGCATCCACGCGCAGAGCAGGAACACGAACCGGTCACGTAGCAGCACGAGGAGCTGGAAATGGGTTTTTCGGGATTGAGAATTTTTTCTGATTAAATGTGGAGCCCTGGCAGATCACAGAAAAGTTTTAAAGCCGTGGCAAGGCTAAGGTTATCGATTTTTGGCGATGTTTGATGTTTTTCGGTATCTAAGCGTAAGTAAGGTGCAACCTGGGCATAAGTAGCACAAGCAGCCAAATCCTAAAATAATCAAAAACCAAAGTTGAAATTGTCGAAGCCTTAGCCGAAGCCTAAGCCTAAGGCCAATCCCAAGTCTAAGTCAAGGACGCCGACTAGAAGGTCTGGCTTGAGGAACAAACCAGACATTTTCCGTACTTGCCGAATAGTTTTTGTACCCCAATAACGTGTCCCAAAAGTGGGGTGCGTGAATCTTCAACAGGTCCAAATTCTGGTGTGTCTTTTTGTAGCCTATTTCGTGAGCGAAGCGTTACCAGGATGGCGACCACGATGAGGAGGGAGCAAATCGTGGCTACAATTACGAGCACCGACGCCAACTGGAACGACCAGGAAAGGGGTTGGACCTGAAAAATTGGGGGCGAATAAAATGTCTCTTATGAGTTCAAGGATTTCTTATGATTCTAGCCCAATTTTCCGACACCGATCGCTCCCAAAAAGAGACAAATTCCAAAAATCGGCAGCCATTTTCTGCCGAACTTCTTCAGCGGGCGTTCATAGTCCCGCGAAGCCATTCAAGCCGCCCGTAATTTTTTTATCAACGCCAGGAAGCCATACCAAATGACCTTTTTTGGTTAATTCAGAAACATGCTAGATGGTTTTTTTTTTGCATTTTTTGCGAGGCCACGAAGACGATTCTGATAATGGGACTTGAACTTTCATCTTCAAAGATGAAAAAGAGGAAAAAAAACGCTATATAAAATCATAAAGCCAAGTTCAAGCCTAGGCATTCAAATAAAACAAGACCTTCATACCTGGAAAATCTTCCATGTGCACGTGTCGGTTGGGCAGTAATCGTAGAGGCCAAAGTATCCGCCCTCATCCGACTCGATCCACGTGGGGTGGACGAGGACTAGCACTTGCAGCACTGCTGCAAAAACGAAAATATAAATAGGTTTGGCTAATTTTTAATAGGTTCTTTCCTATTTTTATTATCCTGCGGTTTTTAGTCCAAATGTGCAAACAATTTTTTATTAATTTTATCCTTCATCCCGAGTGCCTAGATTACTCTGTAGTGGTCATCCGGCGTTTATTTTGAGCACAATTTCGTTTTCAAATAAAGCCGGATTTGACGGATCCAACTCTAATTACAAAACAATCCGCACCAATCCAAACACCACCCAACGACCGTTGCGATTTTGCTAGGACACTGTGCGGAGAGCGGAGAGCGGAGAGCGTAGAGCGTCACGCACAATTTTCATAAAACTGAGCTTGGATGTTTTAAGGTAATTAAATTTAGATTTTAAGGTAATTAATTTAGTGACTTAATTAAATTTTAAAGTAATTAAATTTGTTTAAATTGCAAAAACTGTAATTAACAATCAGGCGTTAAAATCTTGGTTTTAAATGTAACTCCAAGCCGCTTTATTTAGCTTAAAAATTAAGAAAACTTTTTGGCAACCCATATAAAAAATTATAGGTTGTTTTGAACCCTGGTTTCCGATTTTAGTGTGAAAAAGCTTAAATTTTTTACAAATTTACGATGACACTCTGGCACGGATTTTGCAATCTTACGATGGTACTCTAGCGAATATAAAAACACAAACAGCAAATACATCAAAATTCGAAATTCAAAAAAATCCTGAAAATGTGCTAATTGCTACCCTACCAAATATTGAATGAAAAAACCCACTCCCCCCCGCCGGGTCACCAATACAAATTCTGCTCCACCACCTGGTTTTGGTTGCTGCGAAAAATTGCCCAATTTTTCATCTCCATTTTTTGGGCCATAGATCTAAAAACCACCCCCCGGGGTGCGGAGTTGTCAATTTGCAGCCACCCGCCAATTATGGTTATCTGGTGTTACTAGGAAACTTTGTCTTAATTCAGGCCTTCCACCCACAAATTACGCGAGTAAATCGGGGTGCCCGAAAGGGTAGAAGATGCGTGTGGGTCTTAAAAAGACGTACACCCTCTCAAAGGGTGGTTTGTCGAACAAAAAAAGAAAATTAAGAAACGAACCCGAGCACAGGGCAAAGAGCACCCAAATCGCCCCCGACACCCGCCAATTTCGGACGTAGACGGCGTGGTAGCCGAGCGAGATCTTCTCCATCCGAGGCTGGGGGAGGGGTGCTGGAATGGGGGACGTTATTAAAGGTCTAACAAAGCAAAAAATAGAAAAAAATATACCGAGCAGATATCGGTATACGAATACGGGCGCATCCGGCTAACAAGGAGTGGTTTTTAGGTCGTTTTAGAGTTTTTCGATGCACCCTAGCTTATTCGTGGAAGTTAAGTAAAATTTGAGACATCTCAGAGATAAAAGCAAAATTAATAAAAATCACCGGGAACAGAAAATCGTGATTTTTATCCTAAAAACTATTGAACCCGCCGGATGTATGGAAAAAGAAAAAACCCTAGAGGCCCATTGAAAAGTTAGAACCATCTTATTTTGTTTTCTGAAGTTCGCTTGTAAGCCCTTTGGGTTTAACCTAATAAATGAGAAAAAAACAAACCTAACCTAACCTAATAAAACTTTGCCTTACAATTTCCAATTTTACAAAGGTAAAAACAACTTTTACGAGGTGCTGTTGGCTATGGTAGTTTCCATCAGCATTAGCAGCTCTTTATTGATTTTATTAAGGTCTTGAATTGCGACATTTTTTATATTCATGCCTATAAATTTTAGTTCATCGCCTTTCCTTCCGGGATCTTCTTTTAGTTCACACATTATGCCATGATAGCGCTTTCTTACCTAAAAGGAAGAAAAAGAAAAAGGGTAGCGGTGCACCCGTCCTACTTATGTGCTCCACGATCAGGCCCGTAGGAAGGGGGGGGGGGGGCAACTGGGGCAAGTTGCCCCCCCCAAAATCGGCCGAAGGCCGAAAAATTCATAAGGGGGGACCCTTATGATTTTTTTTTCGTGAAAATTTTTTTGCCTGCGGCGCTTTTTATAGTTGTTTTTAAGACTGTTTTTACTGTCTAGGCCCTAAGTTTTTCAAAAATTTTCGCCTGCGGCGCTGTTTTTGATAGTTTTGATACATTGTGAAAAAAAATTTTTTGGAGTTGCCCCCCCCAAAAATCGGGGATCGCTACGGCCCTGTCCACGATATACATGTACGTATTTTGCAACAGGGTTTAGGATAGATCCTTGCCCGATAAATCCGACGGATTTGGTTTGGAAAGGTGAGTTTTTGGTCTACTACCGTATCCCTCTGGTACTTCTTGGAGGATTCCAATCGGCTACAAAAATTTTTGAGCGCGGCCGTTCATGGAAAACCCGATACTCGGAAGACACAAGCCTTTCACCTTGTTTGAAAATACTCACTACTCGGGGTGACAAATGTAGGCTCAATTTTGTAGCCAAATTGCTCAGTGCCAAGTAGCCAAGCAGAGTAGCCAAGCAGAGTCTTAACTTTGCTCCCAAACGTAGTCAAGAAAAGGCCACGCAAATTGGGGGTAATCATGGTATTTTTAAACTGAACTTTCAACGCTAGGGACCAAAGTACCAGGTGGGGAATGGCAAATTTGGGCGGCTAAAATCATCTTAATCCGGGGGCTTGAAGAGAAACAGGCTGGTGGCCTGAGATCCACTTTACTCTGCGGAAAAACCTATTAAATGGTTATAATATTTATTGAAAATGAAGAAACGACGAGAAAGAGCGGTCTTTACGTGCACGGCCCTGGGAATCGCGAATTCAAAATCTCAAAAATTCAAGTTTACGTTTTTTCCAATAAAACGCCAAATATAAAAATCGGTGTTAGTTTTTGGTGGGTAATATAAAGATTTTTCATTCCGGCATTGTTTTTCCCTTTCGACCTCGAGTTCAAAAAAAAACCTAGTATCTTTCAGGGAATTTTGAGCAAATAGCAAAATTTCAAAATTTTGCTGCTTTGAGGGATTCCAGGGTTAGAGCTTTCTAGGTATATTTCTGGCCTAAAAAAAGGATAAGCTGTAGAAAAACAGGATTTGTAGCGTTCTTCAAAATTTTCAAAATTTCAGGATCTCAAAATTTGGTAAAAATCAGGACTTGGTGGTATCGTTTCTATTAGCAAATTCTCCATCAGGGGTACTGCGGAATTAAAAAATTGGTGCTAAAAATCACGAGAAAAAGCGATGGAAATGCAAAATCCGAACACTCCGTCTTTGTTTAACATCAGAAAGAATCGCTGGATTGCCTAGACTAAAAAAATCTGGTTAATACGATGTGCTTCTAATAACAACGGCTGGATTTTACTTTACCCCCAGCCGGAAGTTACAACATTTTATTCAGATTTCTGCTATTTTATCGTGTTTTGGACTACGCCCTTCGATAGAGTATCAGAAACTATACCACGAATTTTAATTACAGCCCAAAATAATCTAATATAACAAGGATATAGCGAAGATGTTAAATCCAACCAAGTCGATGATGACGATAAAAAATCAACTCCGCGAACGGATGTGAAAGGGATCGGTGGCCAGATCTGGGAGAAGTGCTATCAGCGCGCCACCGCGCCCCGCGCGCCGCTCGTGGCCCGGCTGTCTCGGGCCCTGGGAGTTGAGCAAATAACACTAGAGAAACCCCCCAGGGGGTGGCTGGGTGGGGGGTATTTGGATGCTGTCGTAGTGCCTTCAGCCGTACGGGTAGACACGCCGAGATTAGGGGGTCGCTGGGCCCTTACGCAAATTAACCGACTCGCGACTACACCCCCCTAGGTCCACTCGACAAGAAGCTGCGAGGCTTATTTGGGGTTGACCAGGGGGGGGGTGGTCAACCCAAATCGCACGTTTTTCTTAGGGTCAACCCTCAGCTCAGGGACAGATGGTGTGAAAAAGTAATTAAGTACCTTTGCATACTTTCTACGGCTTCGGTTTTTGGGTACGGTATTGGAAAACCAAATGGGCATTAAAAATTCCTAACTACTAATTTGTTAAAATAATTTTTGGAAACGCCTAGAAAACGCTAGATTTAGGTTTTTTGTGGCTTTTTCAAGATCCCTAATCAAGCGCATTTTTCGGGAAAATACACTAATCCGGATCTTTAATTTAACGGTTCTGCTAAGATACAGTATCGGAAACACCAATCCGCTTCTTGCTTCTGTTTTTATTCTTTTCCGACTTTCAACCAGGATCGCTTAACAAAGAATTCCGGTTGAGCAAGAGATTTGAGGCTTCTCCTTCTCTCTCTTTCGCCTCTCTCTCTCTTTCTCTCTCTCTCTCTCTCCCTCTCTCTTCTGTCTCAATTGTGCTTGTAGCATATGATAGTACCGGATTTTTGAAAGGGCTTTCCGGGCTTCTCTCTCTCCCCTTCTTGCTCTATCGCTCTATCTCACTCACTCTTTCTCCCCCTCTTTCTCACTCTGCCTTTTTCTCTCGCTAGCCTTGTAGTTTCGGACGAAGTTTGTGGTTTTTCCTAAAAAAACGAGCACACAAAAAGCGATCTTTTCGTTCGTACCGGTACCCGGTGTACTGGCACCGGATCTAGCATCCCGGATATTGAGGCGAGAGATAGAGAGAGCGAGTGAGAGCGTGAGCGTCCACGAGAAGAGATCCGCTTACACCCGAATCTTCCGGTGCAGAAATTAGCTGCGGAACACGGCGTATTTTGGTTTCGCTCATTTCAGTACTTATCGCACCTCGAAACGCACCACTTGGATTTTGATTTTCATAGGCCAGCTTAGTGCGCTGCAAATTGGCTGCGAAAATAGAAATGAGCTGAAAATCCCAAAAAAAACCCCCGGGAAAGTTAGCTGTTACTAGGCCAACACAGACAGTAAAAATTAGTTATTTTAGGGAAGGACTTTTCTGGGACTATCTACTTAAATTGAGCCTGAAAATATGTACAAAACATTTAGAGTTGCGGAAATCCTTCGATGGATACGGTAGGTGTAGGCGTTTCTCGTGCACTTTGTTCAATTACAATTTCGTTTACAGAGCGCTCAGTTATTAATATTTTATAAACTGGTACATCCCGGATTGGTCAAAAAATCCGATATGACACTGGTACGGTGAACTCGAAACAGTTTAATAAAAAGGAATTATGTGACTGAGCTAGGCGAAGTCGGAGTAATCTCGACAGCCAGATTGCGCATTTTCCAGGGGGTTTACCTGAAAAAAGCATAATGTTCCAAAGCACGAACCGGTTCCAAAGCCTAAGCCTAAGCCGAAGCCTATGTCTAAACCAAGCCTGCGCATCTGCCTAAGCCTATGCCTCGGTCAAAGCCTATGCTTAAGTCAAAGCCTAAGCCTAAGCCTAAGCCTGTATCTAAGCCTAAGCCTAAGCCAATGTGTAAGCCTAAGCCTATACCTAAGCCCAAGCCGGTATCTAAGCCTAAGCCTAAGCCCCTGTGTAAGCCTAAGCCTATACTTAAGCCTAAGCCTGTATCTAAGCCTAAGCCTAAGCCCATGTGTAAGAGCCCTGAGCCTATACCTAAGCCTAAGCCCAAGCCTAAGCCTTATTTTCAGCCCATGCCTAAGCCTATGCCTATACTTAAGCCTAAAGCTATACCTAAACCTACTGCCAAGCTCACGAAGCCGAAGCCCGAAAACCATCACCAGCTCCTTGGCCTCCCGGAACTTCCAGCTACCGTAGCCTCGGGGCCGGAAAACTCACGTTTTCCACCTGCCCGCTCGATCAAGCCGGCTAATCCCTGCAAACAGCTTTGACGGAACGTGCTTTCCAAGTTCGCTAAACACGCAGTGGAGCGTCCAAAAAAGCAACCAATTCAAACAAGCAAATATGAATTATGAATGGATTGGATTTAATGAATGAATAGGGCTGGAACATCTGCAAAAAAACCAGGTTCTGGCTGAAAAAAAACGGGAAATTGAACGTTTGGTTTTTCTTCTGCACGTGCGCCAATAATTTTTTGGAAGGAGCCCAGCTGCGTGACTCGAGATTAAGGCTCGCAGGGTGTACTTTATTTTTCTCGGGATAGGATTTATGCAAGAGTTTTTTTGCATGTTTTTGGCTAGGTATATACGGTGTCCCAACAAAAAACACCCCCCTCTAACTCGACACAGAAGTATCGGATCGGAATGATAGCTACGCCATTAGAGAGCCCTTGAAACGGCGGATTTGGAACAATCTTCAAAACCATGTTTTTTATTGAAACCCGCCATTTTAAAAACAATTTTGTAAAATTTTACCGCTTTTCCGAGTTGAATACGAGCTAATTTGCCTCGATTTCTCCATGCAAAATAACCGGAAGTAGCCGTTAATTAAATGCAGAGGCCGTTCCTTGATGTTTTGAAATGCGGTGTAAAATGGCGTGTTTAAATAGAAACAGGTTCTTGGAAATTGTTGCAAACTCGCCGTTTGGAGGGCTTTCGAAGGGTATGACTGCCATTCCGATGCGATACTTCTGCCCCGAGTTCAGGGGGGGAGGTGTTTTTTGTTGGGACACCCTGTATTTGCTTCAACCTCAAAAACGCCATTTTCATAATCCACTCCAACTTTTCTGATATACTTCCCCGCTCCGCACACAGAAATTTATTTTCTGTGCTTACGCGTAAATCTGTGCTCTCCTTTAATACCGGATTACGGTAGAGCTTCCGCGTGTCCCAGGATTACCCCCCCCCCCCCCCCCCGGTACCGTACCCCTGTCCCGACCAAATTTAGATTCCCCAAATGCCCCAGGCGGATTGGATTTCGATAAATAATAAATCGCCAAATGTCCGGACGAGCAAAGAACATTCGCCGGGGCAAGACTACGGTACCCCGGGGGCGCGAAATAAAAATGCGATCGCCGGCGCGCCGGAACACTAATTGGTCAGGGGACTGCGCGGTGCACCTGTCGACCCGGCATTAGGAATGCAGCGGAAAACGGGGAAAACACTGGCCGCGGCAAGGGGTACTTGGTTTTTTTGCAACTCTATGAAAAAATCGGAACAAAAATAACTTGAAAAAATGTTAGGTTTTTCGGCGAAGCGCCGATTCCAGCTGCGAGGGTGGTGACCGTAAAAAAATGATAGCAGAGAGGTCGGCGGTATTTTTGGGGTGGTAATTATTTTCGAATACTCGGGGAGAAATTGTGTTCTTGGCGCGAACAAAGTACCTCTTTGCACAGGAAACGTGCCAGAAGGGGAAAGGACTGCAGAATGGGAAAATGAGTCAGCCTTAAAAAGATACCAAAAAATAGCAACCGGATTTTCAAGGATATCTTGCAGAAATACGTCCATTTTTCGATGTGTAATTTGAAAAAATATAGAAATTGAGATATAAATAAAATATAAAATAAATAAATAAAATATAAAATATAGAAAAAATATAGAAACAAAATATAATGCGATGGCGGAAAATCTTAGACAAAAAAAAACCAAAACCTCCACAATGGCATTTTAAAGGGCCGCCGAACGTGATGTGGATTTTATGCAATTTATTTTCAAAATGTCGAAAATCATAATGTCGAAATTGAGAATGTCGAAATTTACATAGGCTAATATTCCCGGTGAAACCCCGGAATCCAATGTAAAAAGAATTTCGGCATTCTAAATGTCTATTTGCACCTTTTCCAGCTAGCAAAAATTTACATGAATGCATTGAACTGCAATGAAACAGAAAAAATCTGTTTGGTTATGAAAAATAGAATATATTCTTCATGCCGCGCCTAGGGGGAATGGATACGTGTGGCTCAAGTGTCGGGCCACCGTCAGTCAGTCGTTGTATTTGTTTGTTTGTGGGGTCCACTTCCCGGTGTCTCTTCGTCTTCTTTGTTTCCGATCCTCCGCCAGGAACGGAGACGACGAAGCACACCAAAAGACGCGCTCGGAAAAAAGACAGCATGAAAAGCACCCCGAAACAAACGGACGACACCGATCGGCAAACACATGTCCTTTGATATGATTGCATCCGGATGGTTTTGGAAGAAATTACTTGAAACAAAATGAGAATTAGCTAAAAAGCCTGTCAAAACGAAATAGCTTCGCATGAATCTTGCACTTTCTCTCTCATTCTCGCTCTCGATCCCTATCTCTCTCTCTCTCTCTCTCTCTCTCTCTCTCTCTCTCTCTCTCTCTGTTACTCGCTCTCACGTTCCTTCTATATGTATCAGACTCGATCGACGACTCGTTACTGTTGTCTTTATTAACCTTATATTGATGAGTATTTATGTGCTCGTTCGCTCTCTATCTCTCGCTCATTCTCTCTGTTTCTCACTTGAGAATGAAAGACATGAAAATGAATGAAAAGCGCATATCACCGTAACCAATGGTTTTAAAAAAATTTCTAGAGCCCTACCACTCAAGCGATCGAGAAGTCACTTTCAAAGGCCCGCCTCAAAAATAAAACTCATCGAAAAACCGGATTCACACATCGGCAACGGGCCGCCGTGCACCCCAAGAGCCAGCTGAAAAAAAACTGGGATTTGCGTATGCTTATTTGCCTGGGCGAGTGTGGAGGGGGCTAAAAATAGGCCCCCAGGGCTCATCTAGTTCGCTCTAAATGCGTCACAGCGCCCGTGCTAGGGGGGCTAGGGGCTAGACAGCTGTGCCAAAGGATATCCCCCGATTCGGAGAAACCAATATTCATCGCGTACCTTGTACCGGTTGGCGTCTAGCCGAAGCTGTCGGAAACCAATGCCCACGACCTGGACCCCAACCTCCGGGTTTCTAATTGCATTTTTCATCTTGGTGAGCATGGTCTTGATTCGTTTAATTAATACTCACCGGTTCACTAATTGGAGCGATTCTTAGGATGCGACGAAAAGGTTCAGAGCGCATCTGACGTTTTAAAAGGACGTTCAGGGACGGCATACTAGTAGATTTAACGGAGCCGCGACATTGCAGGGTGCCCCAATAAAAAACCCCTCAAACTTGACGTAGAAGTATCGGATCGGAACGATAGTTACACCATTCGAAGCCCTTGAAACAACGAGTTGCCTAAAAGTTGCCTCAAAATGCTGGAGCGAAACGACCGGAAGTGCCTGCAGGCTTGTAAGCGCGTGATAAAATCGCGTGTTTAGATAAAAACATGGTTTTGAGGATTGCTGCAAACAGGCCGTTTCAATGCCCTAAATCGTTCCTGCTCTGTGCAGTTAGCGAGAGCACCCTCTAGACGTTCAATTCTCGGAGCTTTTTATGATGATTTAGACTATGGAAATTTGAAGCTTTAAAACCCGAGATTAGTGAAAATACGAGATTCTCAAGATGCGAGAATCTGAAGGTTCGAGCTCCGTAGGGCAAGAAAGAGGCGCAAAGCCTTTCAACCCATTCTTGCAATAATGTCGTAAGAAGCGGGCTACGGCTTACTTGGCTCTATACTGATAGCGGGGTCCTTAACTTTTAACGGGGTCCTTAACTTTTATCGGGGTCCTTAAAAATTATCGGGGTCCTTAACTTTTGACGGGGTCCTTAAAAAATATCGGGGTCCTTAGATTTTTACAGGGTCCTTAAATTTTGGCGGTAAAAAAGTTAAATAACGGCGTTTGCGTTAAAAAATTTTGCTGATTTGCCCCCTTGCATCGTTATTGTTTTTAGTGCCTCTACAAAGCGCCGGTGGCAACTTTTTTTTGAAGTATTGCGTATGAGGGTGCCGGTAGGAAGTATCTTTAGTTTTACGCTAATATGACTAATTTTGGGATATAGATATCTTTTGCAACCAGGATTACATGTAGCAAATACAAACCGATCGATTATCTTTACCATAAGTTTGATAGCGCACTCCGATAGCTTCCTTTAATTCAAAGTACTAAAAAGTTCCATACTTTTTCGCTTCTAAGTTCCCTACTTCGTTGAAACATCTTACAAAAACCACTCTTGTTATTTCGTCATACCCACTATATTTGAGCATTCCGGCAAGGGCCATGGGCCCAGAGCCTCAAAACTATTTTTAAAATTTTAAAGGGGTCGTTATTTAACCGAGTCCTGAATTTCTTACCGCCAAAATTTAAGGACCCTGTAAAAATCTAAGGACCCCGATATTTTTTAAGGACCCCGTTAAAAGTTAAGGACCCCGATAATTTTTAAGGACCCCGATAAAAGTTAAGGACCCCGTTAAAAGTCAAGGACCCCGCTATCAGTATAGAGCCGCTTACTTTGCCCCCCCCCCCAGCCGGACGTTTTTGGCTATAACTTTTTTATTTGACATTATTGTAGGCTCAAATTAAAACTCTTAGTATATTTTTTGACGCTCTATCGAATGGCGTTGCAAAAATACCGACAAAATAAGCGAAAATACCGACAACTTTGAGACCCCTTGGCTGTGGGGGGGAGGGGGTAAAGTAAACTCTTACCTAAGGAGCGTGCCCTGAATTTGGAGACTATCCCATTGCGTCATTATCAATATCTGCTTTGTGCCGGAACCAGTTGGCAAAGCAAATTTTTTCAAGGATTTGCGAGACATTAGAGTACCTGATTGATAAAGCAAGGCCGCGACTAACCGCAAGCCCCCCGAAATGTACCAACTTCGTTGTTCCAATTTTCGGTCGCTCGAAGCGCAGCTTGTCGGACTTCCGAAGCCCTTTGTTCATTAGTAGCTTTAGCCAGTTTACGCTTCTCTGATAATCCTCTTCACCCCGTTACAGTAACCCCTGTTTTACTATTAACTAATTGTCTTCCGGGATCAATTCGAACGGGGATTGGTGGCTACAGGAGGCCTTCTCCCCCGAAATGTTCTCTGGCTTGGCTACCGTAACCCACAGCGCTCGTTTCCAGGCGACAAATTGCCACCTGGATGTGCAGCCACCCCGCTACGCCACAGATTCCGAGCAGAGGCCGATGTTCAGGGGTCAAGAGAAATATTATCGACAGCAGCTGAATGGTGAGTTCGAAGAAAGCAAAGGGCTAGAATGGGGTGGGGGTAGTAGACTTCCGGGTTGTTCGGTACTTGGTGCTCTGGAGAGGTCAGAGTGCGTAGCGTACTTATTTTGCCTAGCCGAACCGTGTAAAAAGATGCCACGATGGGACCAAGAGTATTTCCTGCGGAATCTTGGCTACGGTGTACTTTAGCCCCCCATCAGCCGGAGTGTTTTGGCTATAGCTTTTTTTTATTTTACATTTTTGCAGGCTCAAATTAAAATTCTTAGTAGATTTTTTGATGCTCTATCGAATGGAGTTGCAAAATCCCGAAAAAATAAGCGAAAAATAAATGCGCGATACAAAACTGATAGACATAAGCAACTTCCGCTGAGATTTTTAGGGATTTATTTAGCGCTGATCTTGTTTTAGTGAAGTTTTAATGCCTAGAATTCGCTAGCAACAAAGAGGTAAAAAAGCGCGGGATTAAAATGCGTCCATGGAAGCAACTATTGTTTTATCAGCTATCAGATAGGTTTTTTCATTTTTTGAGGAGCTGGAATAAGAGAAAACCAACGCCTTCTACTGACTAGGGCTCGACAGCTACGCAGCAAAAAGCGTCAAAATTGCACCTTGAAAATTCGGTATGTGGGTTTTGTTGGAAAATCTAAATTATCTGTAGGTTTCATTTGGAGTGTTACGTAGCTGCCAGTGCCTAGCCAATACAGCAGGTGAAGGCTGGCGCTTCCTAGTCCCTTTAAGCGGTTCTTTGGCGCAGGCAGCAATCCAGGGAGGAATCAATTATACCACCTTCGGACTATCCAAAAAACTCATGAGTAAAAAAATAAACGAAAATCGCAAAAATATGCCGGTATGATTTTGTAGAAAACATGGATTATTATCAGCATCGCATCACTTTCCCAAAAACATGGTTTTCCGGTAATCCTCTACGGGAATTCTCGGCTTCCATTCAGGTTGACGGAGATATATGCATTAGGTTTGCATGACCTGATCCCAGGAAAACGGGTAAATCCCGAGTAATGGCTTATTTTGTCAGCAAATCCGACTTTTCACTCGAATGAAAATAATTGTTTTTCTATACCCACACCCTGTTCGACTTATACCGTAATTCCAGCTGTGGAGGGTGAACTCGAGGGCATCTTGCACAATCTGGAGACACCTAATTTGCACCTCAGGGGCCAACCGCAAATCGCCGAGGATACGGTAAGTGGACAAGGCGCCTGACCTGAGTGTTTTGGCCCAAAACCAGGGGTTCAGGATCCAGAGATCGACGGGGAGTGCCGGGAATTTGCCTGTATTTGCTGAAGGAGCTTTCGGGGGCACAAATTGAATTAAATAAAATTAGCTTAATTTTGAGCCACAATCAGAGAAAACGGAGGAAATTGTGATGCGTAATCGTCTGTGCTAGTCCGCTGATTTTCCATCGAAATCCGATCTTTGCGATTTGGGCGCCTTGATAAATCAAAAGCTATAATTTGGCCCAAAACATGAAAAATCTGACAAAATCAGAGACGTTTCTTAATGTCGAAATTTCATAGCGTCGAAATTGCGTAATGTCGCAATTTTTGTATGCCGAAATTTTTTCATTGCTTTTCCATTTCTGAAACTCCGACCTTAGGCAAGTTCGGCGTTCTGGACTTCCGACATCATCAATTTTCGAAATTTTAAAATTAACCTCGAAAATGCCTATTTATCAGCTTTATATTTCTGTACCAACGCATCCAAAATTTTTGATGATTAATTAGAGCTAAAAATTTGGCTGGCAAACTTTCAAGCCTTGATTAGTGCATGAACTCTCTACCAAACCTCTCTGTCTCTCTGCCATGACCACTTTAAGAGCTCAAAATACAATTTTTAGCCCTCAAAACTACCGTTGTAGTGACCACCGTCCAAAAACTAATCTCCAAACGCACATATTCAGGATGCCGATCCGCAAATCTACGCAAAATCGCCGATTCGCACCTTTTTCCAGCACTGGCGCAAGATGGAAGCGCTGAAAGGTGGGTGCGGAGAGACCATTTCCGGATTACCCGAAACTTCGATCCTTATTTGAATGCTTTTGACGGGGCAGCCGGAAATGGCCAGATTACCGCCACGTGCTTTCGGGCTTATTTTGTGAAAAGCTCGAAATTTGGTTCTGGGGATTGAAAACAATCTTTTTGCAGCAAATGTTATGAACAAAAACTTAAATTGTACCGCGCCTTGTCTCAGCTGTTCAATTTTCAGATGAAATTCGTGAAAAACTCAAGAAAATCGAACCCGACCTTGAGGGAAACCGACTCGATGGGGAGGTGAAGCTGATTTTGGACCTTGTGGCGACGGTAGATGAGAGAGCGAGAAGGATATTAAAGGATGAATAAATGGGTGAATTTTATGAAAAGGTGATAAGATAAAGCGAAAAGAACCGGCTCTCGTTCTGTTTGTTCGGCCTCCCATATTTCTCTCTCTCTCTCTCTCTCTCTCTCTCTCTCTCTCTCTCTCTCTCTCTCATCCCCTCGCTTTCTGTCTGTCTCTCTCTCTTCATATATCTGTCTCTCGCTCTCTCCCGATCGCCCTCTCTCTCATACATACTCGCCCACAAACAGACTCACTCGCTAACGCACACTCCTGGAATTCATGAAAACTAAACAAATATGAAATTCCCTTAAATTAAAATGAATTGATTAAAACCAAATAAATTGATGTATTGATGAGAATTCTTTAAAATAATTTTATATTAAAAATAGTTTTGATCGCTGAAATGGATCCTTTCCGGTCCATTCTAACCAAAAACCATCTCTGCCAAACTCGCGTCACCTCCCCATGCATTGTTTTGCACAGTTCCGCCTGGGCAAAGGTAGAGAGAAAGAGAGAGAGAGAGAGAGAGAGAGAGAGAGAGAGAGAGATACAGCAAAAAGACACACATTGACCGGGTAGCCGCCATGTTTATGTCTTTGCCCGAAAATATCGAGCACGATACACGGCGCGCGACCGTTTCGATTTTCAAACACTTTCGCGACCCGTGTCTGGGTTTCGATTCCTTCGATTCGGAGACGCTACTCCTTTCACCTACAAAAAGCATTGGAAATTCCATTTTCGGGATACTTCTCTGGCAAAATTTAAAAGCTCCGAAGCGATGGAAACCTCGCTCGGAAATTCTGATTCCGATTTGACGTCGGATGATTCGCCAAGAATAATCCAGGAACCGGAAGATCTCGTAGATCTGGCCGTTGCTGATTTTGCAGAAGTCTCAGGAGTCGCACTCCCTGAGAAAGGTCAGTTTTAATCATTGTTTTCAGTTTGATTTTTGATATATTCCTATCATATTTCTACTTATTGTAAAATACTTACAAATTAATCAAACCAGATAGCAAAAACTCATTTAGTACGTTATTAAAAATTCTTAGGGTCCGAATTATTTGTAGTTTTATTAATATTTTAAATTTCTGATGAGTTTGTGTTCTTCTACATCAGTTGTAAACAGTGAAGATTAATCCTTTTTCAAAAACGTTTCAAACGATGCGATTTATTTAAATTTTAGTGCCCCAAATCCCGGTTTCGGACGATCCGGAAGACGCGGAAGACCCAGAAGATCCTGTACAAACGGTGAAAAACGAGCCACCAGCCGAGGAATTGGCAAAACTCGTCGAAGAAGGCGAAAAGCGGAAAAAGAAGTTATATGAAGACCGGCGCGATACAGTAATCGCTATTTTAATAGCGATATCGCTATATTTTGTGCCTGCAAATTTGTATTCGAGGTGGACGAACCCGGCGGTGAGTAAAAAAGTAATCTTTAGAAAAAATTTTCAACTATTTTTCTGTAAAAGTTCCAATGTAAAAACGTGCAAATTAAATCATCTAAATTAATTTAGTGATTTATTACAATTTCCACCGATTTTAATATAGTTTTTAGCCCTCGCACCAGGATTTTGTGAATAAAGTTGTGACGAGAATCGGCAGCGGTATCGTAAGCAAATTTTATTCGGCCTGATCCGGATCGTCATTTTCAGGAACTAGCCGAACGTTGCGATACAAATGACTGTTACTTAATTTATGATCATTTTAATAGGTGGCCGTACAGGTATAAAAAAACCAGATTTATTCATTTTAAAATATTTAGAAATCAATTTTCCCGGGAATTCCTTTACGGTAGCTCCCAGAGAAGCCAGTCCATCTTGCTGCAAATTCCGCCAAGTAAATTCATTTAAATGATTCGGATTTTTTAAAACCAGCTGCGGAACAAGGCTACGTTAGTAAAAATAACTGCACTTTATTTTGTTTTCGATTTAAAATTTTTTTTTAGAAGACCGGCAAACCGAAGCGTTCCTGGATACCTCGATATGGAAATTTGATGCGAGGGCACTTCCGAAATCGTAAGTGTCGGCTTTCGAGCTTTTCTATCACTTTGTCAGGTCCGAAGGCCACATCCTTGGCCTGCTCTTGGCTGGTAACGCAAAATTGACCCCGAAAAAATCCACGGAAGCCGAAATGCTGATCCTTGGTTTCGGTGCCGGCTTCTACCACCATTTTTTCAAAGACAACTTCCCGATGGTTGGTGATTTTTGAACTTTGGTTGGGGTGTCGTGGAAAGAGTAACTGCTGGGGTTGAGCTTACAAGAGACTATACAAAAAACAATAGCTACTCTCTCTCTCTCTCTCTCTCTCTCTCTCTCGTTCGTTCTCTAGCACGAGATCCAGGTTTTCGAAATCTAAAGCAGAAACTCCACTACAGCCAGGGTAAAAAAACAATCGCCTAAATTAGCAGCTTACTTGTATGTGTTTTCATGACCACCGAGAGAGAGAGAGCGAGAGAGAGAGAGACAGAGAGAGAGAAAGGGCGAAAGAGAGAGCGAGAAAGAGAGAGGGAGAGAGCGGGTGAGAGAGATAAACAGTAAGAAAGATTCGATCGCGATCTTTGAATTTCGCTAGCTCATAAAAATCAAAATAGTTGGTTCTCATCGTCTAATTTGACTCTTTGAATTCCGGTTGTTGGAGATCTTTAGACCAAAACTCTTGATTACCATCTGTTTGCCTGCATCTACGTTCTTGCAAGAGCGTGCGAACGATGTCCCCAGGTTTCCACGTAAAAGTCACATTTCCAAGTGTTGGCTGATCTTTTGAACCAGGCAGGTGAAGAGATAAAAAACAAATTCTTTGTATTTCCGGCTTCCGATTGAGGCGTGCGAAAAGTTCATTTCTTGTTTCCTTTCCGGTTCTAAAAACGGACTCCAAAAAGCAGAACGAGGACTACTGTAGAACAAGCAGGGCGCTGAGATAACGACACCCATCTGGCATCAATTTTTCATTTTTCAGATAAACACGACTACGGTAGAGGAAAGTGACGCCATAATCGATATCGCGGAAGAGTTCTTCAACGTTAAAACAAGCAAAACTGGAAGGAATCGATTGATTCACCAGCAGGTTATGGAATTCTTGGAAAAATCAGAAAAAGGTACGGTATTCCATCACAAAATATGCGTTTAATTTTTAGCGGCAAAAGCCTACAATGCGATAATCCTCAACTACCCGCCGGCAATGGCCTTGGACACGCATTTATTTTCTGAGAAAGCCGTGAAGCTTTTTGAGAAGCTCCTTGCCGATGATGGTGGATATTTGCGCCTTAATGAAACCTGGGATGAGAAGTTTTCTGCATTTTTAAATCTCCGCGATTTTAGGGTTTCTCTTCATCCCCGAACTGAATAAGCCTCAAGCACAAAACATGGCTACGGTAGGTTTCATGAAATTTGCGAGATGTTCGCATTCGCAAAAATTGTAGTATCGACACCTTTACAGGACTACTTTTTACTAAAAATCATACTATTAAAATTAAAATTTTCAATATTCAGATACAAAGCAGAATTTTTTATAGTCATTAAAATTTACAATAATGGCTTTATAAGTACAATAACTACAATTTTTTACAATTTTTGTTCAGAGATTCGCCACCTCCTTGAAGTGCACCAGCTTTCCAGTCAGCCAACCAGCACCGAGAGGGGTACGGTACCAAGGACAGTCTATTTATTTATATTTTTAGCCCTCATTGACGCTGGCGTGTCATCGCTCCAATCTGCCCGCAAAACCGAATTCCTCAAAACAAAATGCATTGAAGCAATTTTTACAAAAATCCCAGATAAATTTCTGAACTTGATGTCCCACAATCCAGCTACGTACCTATTTTTAAAAGTCTTTTGGACGGATTTAACGCTCATTTCAGTAAAACAGCGATTTTCCGGAGTGATCCGGAGCTCTGAATTTCAGTAGACAATGGAAAGAGGACTTTTTGGGTTTTGTAAAACCCACATCGGGCTGGATTTTCAAGACCAGATGACCGCCAGCAAGTGGAGATCGGTGTATGGATGTATGGTAGCCTGAGAAAACAGCACTGATCATTGCCAGCAAAAGGACATCAGGTCTGGGGGATACGGTAAACAAAGCATGGAGCACTTTTTAGCTCCTTCATTTCGATTTTGGTGGGATTTCAGCATTGTGACTGAAAACTAGTAAAAATTTGCCGTCTAAGGATTTATACAGTAAACCGGAAGTTAGTTTCCGAAAAATCTTGGACTCGAGCCTCTGTCTGTCTGCATCTCTCTCGCTTTCCCCCTCTCTCGCTCTCTCTCTCTCTCTCTCTCCCTTAAATAAGCAGTGGGATGTAGCCGTTTATTTTGGGGCAAACGAAGCCAGGCAAAGTCGGATAAAGATAGATACAACAATCAGGTGGGTGGCCGGAAAAATAGCAGAATTTGAGCACCATCGGGATTTGTTGGATATGAGACGCAATATAGAGAGGCGTTGATGGCAATTTTTGGATTGAGAAAAATACATCAGTAAATTTGGACAATGCCAAATTTGCATATATTAGAACATGTGTTTGAATTGAAATCGGATTGGGGTACCAGTAAAAAAAATGGCGGATGAGTTGATGCGTGGATAGTCAAAAAACGTACATTTTGTTGGAAAATCGTAGCCTCGGGTAAAATTAAGAAAGATGTAAAAACTCCAATAAAAATAAGTTTGTAAATGCCATGGGATAAGATTCTTTAAAGTAGTGGATTTTGGGAAGCATTTCCGCGGCGTGATTTTGGATAGAATAGATAGTTGTTTTGTGAATAATACGTTTTTCAATGCATTTTTCAATATTTACTTAGTCCTTCACGACTTCCAAGCTCCTTTAAACAGCAAAAAAGACAAATTTTGGACCTGAAAATACTGGCAAAGCAACGCTTATAACGGTGTCGCAATCGACCCGTACGATCCGCCGTCCGGAGGCGTGTAGTGTAGCGATTTGGTGGATGCGGAATGGGTGGGGGAGCTTGGCGACTCGCCAACTTTTGGCGGGCTGTCGTTGCGGGACCCGTTGACGGCACGGTAGACGAGCACCTGGCGCTCGAGGAGTGGGGTTACGGTGGCCGAGTTGGTGGCGCCTCAAAATTGGATTTATAGAATTGAAACATAGATTTCGACTACAGTTTAGATCCCAGAAAAACGGCAATCCAAGAAGTGCAAAATGTAACTAGTGTCCGGGTTAGTAATTCGAAACACTGTACCAATTTTTGTGGTGAAAAAGGTTGTTTTAATTTTTATGGTACTTTTCCATAATTTTTCAGGGCCATTATTCTTCTCACGATTACGTTTATTTACTTAAAATGTCTTGGCTAGCTTTTTAATTTTTAATTTTGCAAAAATTATCATAAAGATAATTTCCATTATAAAATTCCTTCATTTCTAATTATAGCTTTTTTGAAGAACACGCGTGATATTAGTGGTGATGTTAAAGTGTATAAAAATGCTCTAACCTCTAGAAAATTGAAAAAATGAAAAAAAGACAAAAACCCGGGATCTGGAAACTCCATGCAAGATACGATCGAAAAAGACACGCCAATTCCAACGAGAGTGAGGTGCGAAAACCTGAGCAACCGCATTGTTGTCTTACTCACTTTTCACCCGCATCAGCTGACCCTTTTCGGTGGCAAAATTTTGCACCGAAAATGTGGCTGAAAAAAAGCGATTTTGGCAGGGGATTAAATGTTAAATCCTTCACGGCCCTCACTGTCTCGCTAGCGCTTTCAATTTCTCGCTCCCCTCTCTCTATTTCTCTCTCTCTCTTTCTCTCTCTCTCTCTCTCTCTCTCTCTCACTCTTCTCTCACTCTCTCTCCCTCTATCTCCCTCTTGTTATCTCTCCGTCCCTCCCTATTTCTTTCTATTTCTTTCCCTTAAAATCTTGACACCACTGTAAAAGTCGGCATTTGTCAAACACTCATGGAAAGCTGTGAAAATGCTCGAGTTGGACAAGTGTTCCCTTTACCCCAGGAGTGTTGCAACCGGCAAAAAGTACACTAGGCACCCATTGACGTCAACAGCCGAGGTTTGTCAAGCTTTTGCACGTTTTTCAAGATTACCCCAGGTGGTGGAAGCAAGCGGATTAGCCGTTGATGATTTTGCAGCTGGGGGATTTTGTGCTATTCGGTTCCGCATGGATCTGATCGTTGGGCCGGAATTCCGGACTGCTAGATGACACTCAGGAAAACATTTTGAGTGGTTTAAAAAACGTTGGATCACATTTTTGTTATCGTGAAAGCGTCGCAAACCGAACTTTCTCGCCTTTTTTCGCCAATTTTTCGACTCCTACAATTATTAAACTGGCCCGTCAGCCAAAATTTGTCAACAATTTTTGTGGAAACCTGCATTTTTGAATGCCCCTTTGCAGGCTGGTCTCGTTTATGCGGCCAGGACCCACTCGGGTCAAATGAAGGGTGCAGTTAGCTAGGACGCGAGGTGAGTCAGATACCTTACTAGTGTCATACATACCTAGTCGCAATCCAGCGGGCTGGAGGGACCTTTGCGAACCGTTCCTGGCTCGCGATAATTCATTATTGAGCCCACCGGACGGTAGCCCCCGGCTCCCATGCTGTGAAGGAGGCCGTGTCGCAGTCTGGAAAATATAGAAGCATTAATGGTATAATAAAAAGCCGCGACTTCACGATTTTGACAAAACCAGGAGACTCCATTAATTTGTGCATTTGGTGGAGGATATGGGTTAAAAACGTTGGAAAATAAGTGGAAAAGCGAGAGAGAGCGAGAGAGAGAGCGAGAGAGAGAGAGAGAGAGAGAGAGAGAGAGAGAGGGGAGAGCAAGTGACGGTTAAAGGAGGAGATAAAGGCGAAATACACAGCTAGAGCGAGAGAGAGTAAGAGAGAAAGAGAGCGATATAGAGAGAGTGAGAGACCAGAGAGAGAGAGAGAGAGAGAGAGAGAGAGAGAGAGAGAGAGAGAGAGAGAGAGAGAGAGGGAGAGGGGGGGGAAACGGGGGAGAGGGGGGGGGGCGGGACGAGGGCGAGCGAGGAGCGAGAGGTAAGTGAGGGCGAGAGGGAGAGGGGTGAGGGAGACGGTCAGAGAGAACGCTTGAAAGCATGCAAGTTAAGAAAAATCATGCGTGCATGAAATTACAGCGATTTCCAATTAAATTTTGCTTTTTTAGAAAAATTGGTGCAAACCAAAATTTTTGCATGCAAAGATTTTCACGAATTCACAACACGAGAACGAGCTTCAGCGCAGTTTACCGAGTACGAGGCTCCATTTTCGCTGATCAGGCACGTCGAGCGCATTCTGTTATTTCGGATTGCAACCCGGGTTACCGTAGCCAGAGCGAGATTTCCGGTTGCATTTTAGGAGGCTTTAGAAAAAAGGTGATTTGCTAAGGGGGACAGGAAAAGCCGTTCCGATTATGGCTGGACACATTCAGTTATGATATTTAAATTTGATTGCCTTGTGTTTTCAGCTACTTTAAATGGATCCTGATTTGTAGGAAAAAACTTTAAAAACAAATTTTTTTGATTGAAAATTAATCATATTTTCATAACTTAGTGACGGCAAAATATTAATGCTGGGATAGCTATCCTTAAAATTAAGAAATCACTAAAATCTAGTCAAAAAATAAAATGATTCAGATGTCTAAAAATAGATGATTTATGGAAATAAAAAGACCTAATTTAGATTTTTTCATGCTACGTGCCAATCCTCGCAAGCTACGATTCATTAAACTAGCCGAATTGCGTTAGAATTCATTAACTAAAAGACCAAAAAATCAAGTTCATACCTCCTATGACTATCCCCAAGCAGCCGCAGCTCGTCGCACTTGATGAAAGGCATGATTTTGGAGGTGAAGAAGAGGAAACCCTCGCGGAAACGGGCGTTTCGCAAGAAGTACACCACCGGGTTGACGATGGAGTGGGACATGGCAAGACCGTGGCAGAACCACCTGGAATTTGCATATTTTCTAGCTTCGTCTATCTCTCTCTCCCTCTCTCCCTATCTCGCTATCTCTCCCCAGCTCTCTCTCGCTCTCCCACTCTCTTTTTTCTCAACTCACCATATAAATAAAATATAGTCACTGCTGGCCAGGTCGGGCATGACGACCAGCACGACGTTGAACAACATCAGAATCGGCAGCCAGCAGATGGCGAAAAGTGCGGAGACCAGGATCACCATTGGGATCAGCTAAAATCATAGAATTTAGAGGCGAGAGTAAGAGAGAGAGAAGAGAGAGATGCAGAGAGAAAGAGAGACGGAGAGGGAGAGAAAGCGAGAGAGGGATAGAGGGAGAGATATGGGGTAAGTACCTTCTTGACGCTTTCGTGTCTTTCTGTGACAATTTTCTTCGTAGAAGATGTCCCAGTGCCGGGCACCCGGCTATGCCACATTTTGAATCCAATAAACGTGTAGGTGATGATCAGCACGGTTTGTGGGACGGCGTACTGTAGCGAGAGCACGAGGAGGGAGTAAAGTTTTTGGGCCTGAACACATTTCAAGCGACGTTTTCAAGTAAATATGTTTGTATGTTCAATTTTTCTTTTTTGAAAGGCATTTTTTCAAGGTTTGGAAGACCACAAAATTTGAATTGATACATTTTGCGATGTAAAAATTGCTGTAACTTACGTATTCGGCATCCTTGAAATAGCCCCAATCCTCGGTGCAGACATAAGCCGTTCGATTTGGTGGGATTTCATGGACCGAGACGAGCTAGAAAAAGTCTGGGTTGCAGTTTTTATAAATCAATTTCTCGTATAATTCAAAACAATTTAATTAGATGCTTACAAACAACGGCAGCGCCATCGTCAACGAGAAAATCCAAGTGGCCGAGACCATATAAATTGCCCTGCTTCTGGTCAACCTCATCGACGGGGTGAGCACGAACATGATCGCCATCCAGCGGTCAAAACTGCAAAAATAAATTTTGTTGATGATTCTACCAAAATATCTATTTTTTTTTATTAGTTTAAGTATGATTCTAAATTATGATTTTTATTCCAAATCCGGGCCAAGAATAAAAAAAAATTAGATTTTGGAGGTTTCCGGAACCAATTTCTAGCTAGAGAGATTTTTTGACTACTACGGTTTTAAAATTTGATGCATTGCATTGATTACTGCATTTTAGTTTGTATTTTGAAATTTTATAAAACCTTAACGTACCTGATGACAACCAGCGTCCAAGCGGACAAGAACACTGCTGCTCCCTGTAGAAATGACATCAGATAGCACAGTTTCTCGCCGAAGATCCAGCGCTGATCGTCGAAGATGAGCACCTAAACCCAAAAACATAGGATGGAATTTCGTGCCATAATCGGTTTTTCAGGTGCATCGATACCTAGTTCCTATGTTAAAATTCAGCATCTTGAAACTCACATGCCAATATGATGTCGGCATACAGAAGATGCCAATGAGGAGGTCGGCTAAAATTTAGGGTATTAATTGACAGAATTTTCACAAATTACCAATCGCCAGATTTAAAATTAAAATATTTGTAGCTGTTCTCAGCCTCCGGAAGTACAGAATCACCATAATTACGAGTAGGTTTCCATAGACGGAAAAGACGCAGAGGAGGGAGTAGAAGGTGATGCAGACCGCCTAAAAATGAAGAGATAGAGAGTGAGAAAGAGCGAGATAGAGAGAGTGAGAGAGAGGGTGAGAGAAAGACAGGAAAAGAGAGACAGAGAGAGAGAGCGAGAGAGAGAGAGAGAGAGAGAGAGAGAGAGAGAGAGAGAGGGAGAGAGAGAGAGAGAGAGAGGGAGACTGACCTTCAAAAATGGCGACAATGGTATAAAATTGTCATTTGGCGACTGCAATCCGGACGTAAAGTTGTCGCTCAAGTTTTCACTTAAGTTTTCCGTCATACCTGAAAATTATGATCCTTAAAGTTGTATCCATTAGTTCAACCGATTGAGAACATTCAGGAAAGTGAAGAATGAGATCTGAAGAATGAAAAAAGGGCGGAAATTAGCCAAATAAGGGGTTTTGCAAAAGATAGTCAAGTGTTGCGTTTGGTGACTAAAGAAATGCTCGAAAAATTTGCGGGTACTGTATTTGCTGACCAAAATTTGATCGGAATTACCAAAAAAAAGAGAAAAGAATTCCCGAGAGGGAAGTAGGCGATCAGAAATCGGCAACAACCGCTAATTTAGTATTAGCGAAGAATGCAAAAATGTGATTAGCGGGTAGAATTTGCACAAAAAATTGCAGGAAAAAATCCAGAAGTAAATTCGCAACTGCAACTTTGGTATTGTTGAGTCAGAACGACTGGCGGAGATCTTTTGCAAAATCTTGTCTCCGGGTAAAAAGCGTAAAACTTGCTACTTAAAAAAATAAATTTCCAACTACGCAAATGAGCGACTCACCCGGTTTTCTATCAGCACATCGAAGGCCTTTTTCAAACTCATTTGGCCGAAAAACATCTTTTTGAAAGCTTATTTTTCCGAGAAATTGAAGTTTCAGTATATTCAAGCTTTGACAACATGCTTTTCGAATCAGAATCTTTGAAATTATCTGTATTTTTACGATTGCTGGCGTACGGTGGAGGGATAGAAAAACGAAGTATGAATGCTAAGCCCGTGGCAAGGTGGTAAACTGCACTTGGCCACAATTTGGTGGCCACAAGATCCCTGTATTTTGAAGTGGATGAATCAAGTTCCGCTTTCCTGGCGCTAATTGATGTCAAAGAAAATTCATGCCAATCCGAAATGGCGGAATTTGTCGTGTTGTTTTCCGGTGCGGTCCGGTTAAGAAACGACATTAACTGGAGCAAATTATACACCAGCTGCAGCCAAATTTAGCAATTTTTGCAATTCATCGTTTTTGCGGCTTATCGCGCTAAAAAAGGTGTCTGAAACAGCTTCCAGACGTTTTGAAAGGGAGCTGCACGTTGCTAGATCACGAAAAGCTTAAAAAAAATTCAGAATGCGGCCCTTGGAAGCTACGCAGATTTAAATTTTCCCAAGAAGGTTTTTAAAGATTTGAGATTTTCTGCAGGTCACGCCCCTCCTAATGACGATCTGACCATCAGCCGGACCATGTTAACCCTTTGCCTACACTCAAGGGGGAAGCCCCAAAACGCCCATCAAATCCTGGTTGTTGACCCCGGCCACCTCCCGGTAAAAACTCTCGAAAAGTCGCATTTGTTTGCAATGGATGGGAGGACAAGAAGGACGGTTAGGGGATGTTCGTTTCGAACCGCTTTAGAAGATCTTTAGTATCATTAATAAATTAATTGTTCAATTACAATGCAGGTTTCTGGTTTTATGGAAAAAACAAATATTCGAATTGGAGGCATCATTTCGAGTGGAAATTATAAATTTCCCGAAAAGTTGAATATTGGTATCTAGGCTTTAACTTTTGCTTTGTTCAAAAAAATAGAGAAGCGCAATTTCAAATTTAGATCGTAAACTAAACGAACAAGACCCGGCCTCTTTTTTGCCCCAGCTTGGCCAAGAAAGCCCGCGAACACAAAGTGCATTGTCAGGCGCTCAGAAAGGCACGGCGTTGGGTGTATTCTTGGAATTTCTCCAAAAAGGCTCATAACTCAATTTTAAAGAAACATTTCGACTTGTCTGGATTACAAAAAGATGCAAAGAGAGCGTATTTTGCGTCGAGAAAAGTATCAAAAATAGGCCGCCCTGAACGAACTTTTGGTCAAACGAACGCCGAGCCTCCGGGGTCATGGCTCCAGATCTAATTGAATTCACGCTTTTTTTTATATGTTGTCCGGGAAAGGATATCCCCATCGCCATCTTCTTTGCCCTTAATTTAGTTTCCTAAAATTCATCCCGGGTGTCTGTTTGGGAGGGCATTTGGTCGCGAAATAGTGCTAAAAAACAACGAATTCTAGATCAAAAGCCCAAATAAACCTAATAACAAGTATACGGTATTGGGAAGGTCGGAGAAAAAACAAGATTTAGCCATCAAGGTCCGGAAATTTAAAAGTTGCGGAGGCTGATCTTTGTGTGACGCCCTTGGGCTAAATGCCAAGGGCCAGTATCTGAGAAAGTTTTTTAATTAAGCCTAGGCTTGAGTTCAACTTCACTAGAATCGGGTGCCCATTTTGGAAAACCATTAAGAGGAGGATGAGCTAATGAGCGGGATCAAAAAATGAATTTTGGTGACGCACTTTTGAACTTGTCCTTCAAAGGCGAGAGCAATAGAGCGGGAGAGAGGGAAAGAGAGAGAGAAAAAGAGAAAGAGAAAGAGAGAGAGAGAGAGAGAGAGAGAGAGAGAGAGAGAGAGGAGAGATAAAGCGATAAATAAAAAGGTAGAAATAGAAAGTGATGGACGTAGAGAACCAGAGAGAGTGAGGTGAAAGTAAAGAGCGAAGGTAAAGCTAATTGGGGAAGAGAGATAGAGATAGAGAGAAAAATAAAAAGTGGGAAAGATAGATAGATATAGAGAGACGACGAGAGACAGCCAGCGTGAGGTCACACATAACAGCATGCCCCCGGAACTTTCCTAGAAATGTAGCGGACTTCCGAGAAGCGGAATTAAAAATACAACTCGACCTTTCGCGCCCAGCAATAAGGAACCAATAAAAAGCACAACAACAAAACTAGAACGAGGTTTTTACCCCGCGCTGTGAGAATAGGTAAGATGACCTCCTCCTCCTCCTCCTGGCAGTCAATTTTGACGCTCCCTCCCCATCTCAAAAGGTATGTGTGTGCTAGGGGGCATTCATTAGATTGAGGGCCTGGGAGAGGCCTCTTCCTCTTCTAGAGAGCGAAAACATGTGCAATCTAGTGAAAAAAGGAACGGGCACCAATGGCTGGACATTTCGGCGGCACGCGCTCTCTTGAAAGAGGCTGGGAAACGCCGAAATCGTCCGGTTTCGACCCACTAGGTCGCGACAGCCTGTAAACGCGCACACGCTTACAAACTGATTGGAATTTTTTTTGCAACGAAAATTATATTTGGCTTAAAAATTGGGGTCACCTTTTTTGACGCCCAATTGTCTAGACCTAGTCGTCGCTGGGGGTAGATTATGTCGATTACTAGTTTCTTTCATCGATTACGACATGAAATTCAAGGAGCGTTTTCCAGAAAACGGCGCAATCAAACTGAAGAAAGGGTTTGCGATCAGTTTAGATTGCTACTACGACGGCACGTCTCGAAAACACAAAAATTCCGCATCACTTTGCCTTGAGCAGACGACGCGATGGGAGTTAAGCTAATGAACAAACGTACGCACCCGGGCGCACCTAACCACCCGACAACGCGAGCACCGGATGGAGCGGTAGTTTTTCGAGATGTGGGCGTGTAACTAATATAAATCACTAATAGGATTAACCAATGTAAAATTTTCGAACCCAAAGATAAAGAAAAAAAATTCAATCAGGACTCCTTCGAGAATTAAACCAGGAAGCAACCGATATCTTTTTTCTCTTTTTCTCTTTTTCACTCTTTTGACGAGTCAACACAATTTCACGGGGGTTTCCGGGGAAAAATATGGACAACTGGTGCAATTTTAGTTACCTCACGTCGAATCTTTTGAAAAAGACGAAATAGCCTGAAATCAGGCATTAAAAATGACTTTGAAATATGTAGAATTTCTGCTGCTAAATATATGTTTGATTTTTTCATAAATTCCAGTATATCTAAAACCAATTTATGTCTAAGCTGATTTAAAAAAATCTACTTAAATTTAAAAATCACTTTGAATTTAGAAAGAAAACGAGAATTTGCGGAGTCAAGACATCCAGAAAAAAATCGTTTTTAAAGTAGAAATTAAAGCAAATTAAACTAAAATAAAAAATTGAAATTTCATTCTAATCTAACAAAGAGTTTTTCAACATGTTTTCACAGCGCTTACGCATATTAGGCTTTTTTCGGGTTCCTAGGACCTAAAAGGCCCTCTTCCGGGACCCGTAATTTGGTCAACGCGCGCGTTCACTGAGTTTGGTCAACGGAAAAAGAAAGGGCAACGGAGAAGCTAGGCGCAAAAACCAGAAAAAAAAGCCGAGAACGAGGTAATCTGTGCCTGGAATGTGCCCGAGCACCACCCGGGGATGCGCTTCCCAAAATGCGACCCCTTCTCTGGCCATCCACTACGAGCCGTTCTAATGGCCAAACGAATGGCGAGTATCACCCTCAGCAGGAGGGAGGCCCAGTTTTAACCCCCCGGCCACTAATGGCCCATTTTGAACCACCAAAAATATGCAGATACGCATGGCGCGTACACAACAAAATAGGCTACGCGCTGGGAGGCGCCCTCGGGGGGAGGAAATGAAAAACAGCATCGTATGCCCCCCGGAATGGGATGGTAATTGATTTAAAGGGGTTTGGCGGTGCTGCAAAATTTGTGATTTTTGGTTTTCAGAAAATTCTATAGGGTAATGTTTGGCTCTGAAGAGTTTTTAGGTTTTTAAGCGGCTTAGCATAGCTAAGGGATCCCTGATAATTAGCATCAAATGTGAAAGTTGCGAACGAACCAACTAAGCGTTGTAAAATGCGTTAAAGTTGCATCTAAAACATGTGAAAGCATCGCCAAAAATTCTTCAAAGTCCTATACTTAATTTTGGGTG